TGCTCCTTCTGAATATTTCTGCTACTTTACCTTCGTGCTCATTCTGTCCCTTCCTGCCCCTTGCTGACTCTTTCTGCTCCTTGCAGACCCTTCCTGCTCCTTGCAGACCCTTCCTGCTCTTTGCTGCCCCTTCCTGCTCCTTGCAGACCCTTCCTACTCCTTGTTGACTCTTTCTGCTCCTTGCTGTCCCTTCTTGCTCCTTGCAGACTTGTTCTGCTCCTTGCAGATTCTTCCTGCTCCTTGTTGACTCTTCCTGCTCCTTGCAGACCCTTCTTGCTAATTTTTGCCCCTTCCTGCTCATTTCAGTTCATTTCTTCTCGCTCTCTTACTCTTCCTTCCTGCTCCTTGCTGACCCTTTCTGTATGCTGCCCCCCATCCCTCACTTTCCTTATCTGTAGGCTGCCCCCCATGCCTCACTTACCTGATCAGTAGGCTTCCCCCCATGCCTCACTTGCCTTATCTGTAGGCTGCCCCCATGCCTCCCTTACCTGATCTGTATGCTGCCCCATCCCTCACTTATCTAATCTGTAGGCTGCCCCCATGCCTCACTTACCTGATCTGTATGCTGCCCCCATCCCTCACTTATCTAATCTGTAGGCTGCCCCCATGCCTCACTTCCCTGATCTGTAGGCTGTCTCCCCATCCCTCACTTATCTGATCTGTAGGCTGCCCCCTCATGCCTCACTTACCTGATCTGTACGCTGCCCCCCCAATGCCTCACTTGCCTGATCTGTAGGCTGCCCCCATCCCTCACATACATGATCTGTAAGCTGCCCCCCCATGCCTTACTTACCTGATCTGTAGGCTGCCTCCCCTAATGCCTCACTTAAGCTAATCTGTAGGCTGCCCCTATATCCCTCACTTACCTGATCTGTAAGCTGCCCCCAATGCCTCACTTGCCTGATCTGTAGGCTGCCCCCATCCCTCAGTTACATGATCTGTATTCTGCCCCCCATCCCTCACTTACCTGATTTGTAGGCTGACCGCTCCCCTCCAATGCCTCACTTGCCTGATCTGTAGGCTGACCCCCCCATTCCTCAGTTACATGATCTGTAGGCTGTCAACCCCCACGCCTTACTTACCTGATCTGTATGCTGCGCCTATCCCTCACTTATCTGATCTGTAGGCTGCCCCCCCATGCCTCACTTCCTTGACCTACAGGATAAGTAAAATCCTTACAATATCTACTTTAAAAGGTACAGATCTATTCTAAAAAAAAGTTGCTGTGATACGCCATCATTTTCCTGTCCGCCCCAGCACCTCTCACACCTCCCCACTCTGTCAGTCCCTGCATTGGCTTTCAGTTAGATATAAGGCTCAATTTAAAATTCTGGTGCTTGCTTACAAGTCCCTACATAATGCTGCTCCAACCTACCTATCCTCCCTGATACACAAGTATGTCCCGTCGATGCCCCTACGCTCTGCCAAAGACCTACGTATATCCTCTGTCCGTACCCCCACCTCTAACGCTCACCTCCAAGACTTTTCCAGGGCTGTTGTTTTTGTTTTTCCCGATTTTCCTTTTTTTTCCTCTTTATTGGTCACTTCTCAATTCATGGATAAAAGAAACATTTCTCTAGCCATCAATCATTTTTTCCCCATAAATCATCTATTTTTTTGCCGCCAGGCAAATTGACTATATTTTGGTTTGGAGCTCGGGAATTCAAATGATCACCCGATCAGCCCAAATTCAAAAGAATTGATGTTTGGAACAAAACAAATCTCCAATGTCAAAATTAAAAAGATGGCACTAAGTTTCTACTATTGAATTCTGTGTTGCAGATACAGCAGCACTTGTTTAGCTCAAACCCAGCTATGGGAAGTTATGGGAAGTATTGGAAAAGCAGTCTAAATATAATAGGATAATATTTTTCCCATGCATACATACTGCAAACCAGCCCTGCTTGTGGTTGGCAGTGGGCATACAGATGAGGAAGTGGAGTGTGATCATGAAAACATTGTTAGATTATTTTAAGCAGCAAATATGCACATACACGACCGAAAGAACCCACAGCGTAAAAATCGTTATTTACCTCATCATGGCAAAAAGTAACACTGAATCTATTCAAGTATGCTGGGCAAGAATTTGACTAATTGCTGATTATTATTCTGACTTTTGAGACATGTTCTGGGTTCCTAACCTGTCTATCAATAGAGAAATCAAGCATTGAAATGATCACGGCCAACCAGATCGAGTAATCTCAGATTAATGGTGCTCAGTTCACAAATAAATAATTCAGATTATTTGCAATTAATAGCTCGCTTGAGAATATCCCTTCTTCCCCAACTTGCACACAAGCCAAAGGCAAAGCTGAACCAGGAGGTCTCACAAGTATCAGAACAATGTACAATGAAAGGCTATGGATATCCTGCATATCAAAGTGTTCTGCTACATCGAATGGGATACATAGATGACAGTTTGATACACCAGCTAGATTTCCTAAACCACAAATGCCATTTAGAGGTGAATGCTTTACTATAATGACACCAAGGGAGTTGAAAGGCTTGATCACTGACAGCAGACAATATTGAAAACCACAAAACAGATTATAGCGTTAACAAAATAACCATCATGTTTATTTCACATTTATTCAAGACTTTAAAGGTGTTATTATTATTTGTTATTACTATTTTAATTGTTTGTTGGTTAGCAATAAAAATGGGAAACGTTTTAGAATTATTATGTAAAGTATTGACAACTTGTTCTTCCTCTTTTAGTACATTACTTTATACATACCTCCCATCAGTCTTTGATTAGTATTACATTATAAAAATTGGGCCACTGTCCTGCCACCTTAGATTGTTCACTAGTGTCTCACTTCTGTCCCACTTCTTACCCAAACAGAAATCAGAACATTCACCTCATGTGAGACAGCCCTACCTATAGGAAAGTCAGACACACTATATCAATACTCTCTCATTTTGGTATGACGGCTACTTTTTCAGGTGGGAAGTATCTCACATGCATTGTCACTGATATAATCCAAATTGGCCTTTGCCACCTATCGCCACATTCCTGCTTCCTAATGTTATATTTCCTACTTCTTGTTTTACTTCTCACCTGGATGATATTTTCAATTTCGAAAGTGTCTATTGTTATACATGAAAAAAAGAGTTTGATGTGTAAATCTCGATTTTCTGATTTTATTTATTTGCGTTCTTTATTTATGCCACAATCCAACATTTGACATAACTTACACAGGATATGAAATTCACAATATAGCGTTCACACATCACAGAGGGGTGATGGGGAAATCATTGATCAAAAATCACTTTGTATTTTTACTAATGATGTCCTTCGCAAAGGCATCCTGTACTCCTGTATTAGAGTTATGATCCTATCCCTTATGACAGGAAGAGGATTTTGTGAAGCTTGTACATTTGCAATAATATTGCTCAGTTGGCGCATCACCTCATCATTGTATTTAATAAAATTAATAACCAATAAATCGCCACCCTTATTGGCTGGCTAGATGATTATGGATATAATGCTTTCTTCTCATTGTAGGATAAATTATCTTAACGTCCCCCAGTACTAGTCCATTTTAGTTTTTATTGCTTTCTTCTCATTGTAGGATAAATTATCTTTACGTCCTCCAGTACTAGTCCATTTTAGTTTTTATCGCTTTCTTCTCATTGTAGGATAATTTATCTTTACGTCCTCCAGTACTAGTCCATTTTAGTTTTTATCGCTTTCTTCTCATTGTAGGATAATTTATCTTTACGTCCTCCAGTACTAGTCCATTTTAGTTTTTATCGCTTTCTTCTCATTGTAGGATAATTTATCTTTACGTCCTCCAGTACTAGTCCATTTTAGTTTTTATCGCTTTCTTCTCATTGTAGGATAATTTATCTTTACGTCCTCCAGTACTAGTCCATTTTAGTTTTGAAACCGCTTGCTCGACCACTTTGATAAGTCTCAGCCGTAACATTATTTTGAGGTGGTACAAAAAAACTCATAGGTTTGCACCTCATAAATTCTAATGCATTAGTATCAGTTTCCTGTGCCATCTGGACTGGGTTAATGTAAAAAAAGGATCTAATCCTAATGTTACGGAATATATTATACAGTTCGGAATCCAAATTAATTTGATTACTACAGTGTGTCCGAATGAAACCCATACCTTTTTTCAGTATGCATTCCTCCCACATTTTCAAGATCCTGGCTGAAATATTGACAACCACTATCTCCACATTCCTGTTTGATCCATGCAGTCCCTCAATGCCTGCTAGTAGGTTTGGGGGTGTCTTGAACCCCGCCTGTGTCTCTTCCAACATCCCTAAAAGAGGTGCCTTATCTACACCTATGTCCCTAGTATTATTGATGCTACTGTTGGGATCAGTAGTAGAAGAGTCAGTAGCTGCAGTCGTCTTGGGAACAGCTCTCTGATCATTTGACATAACTTACACAAGATATTAAATTCACAATACAGTGTTCACATACCTCAACTGTCAGAGCAATGAGATCCCACAGTAGAGGGATCACTAGAGAACTTCTACTGGTCCATGCACATGAGCAATCCAGACCTGAAATAACATGACCTCTGACTCAATCAAATCTACCTTCTGGTAAAATATAAGCAGTAAGGATTATGTGTGCACATATCATTCTAGCATACATGTAGTATGGCTCTCCAGACAATCTTTTGGCACCCTACTACAGTGCTGACCTTTTTTTTTTTTTTTTTTTTTTAACAAACCTTACCATGGTATAGAATTTTTTGGAGTAGTGTTACTGTATTGCTGCTAATTAGTTGAGACTTTAGAAAAGTAGGAGGATGCTATCAAATGTTTTATTTTTCAAATGACTGTAGCTTAAAATCAGCAACATTGCATGTGTGTGTAAATATGATACTCTGTTGATGTTGCATTAGGAGAATGCTGTGAATTGGCACCTATTGTTGAAAAGAATTTCTACACATCCAGTGAGAATAGCCTTAGTGCCTGCCTGAGCTTGTTTGAGTGTCTTATTTCAGTGTGTTGTTCATAACATACAATGCCTGACAGTGTGACTGTGTTGTACTTTTTTTCCGTATCACAGTTTGTGTGTTAATGAACCATGTGTAACTCTGTGTACATAGAGGTCTAATTGATGGCATACTTAGTGTATAGAAAATGATACATTAGCATATTTTATAGCTGACACCCCACTGTATTTTGCAGACAACTGGTAATAATTGCAGCCTCTCCCTCCAGCTTCTTGGCACACCCAGATTGAAAGCTCCCGCTCAGGATAGACAGAGATATTCTGTGCATTCTTTTGGGAGCAAGGTTTTTCCAGAAGTCACAAACTTTTACAAAACCGGCAAAATGGCAAGTTACTCTCAGTCATCTGACTACGATGAATCTCTATGGCAATCAGATAATTTCAAGGGAAGAAAAAGCCCTCTCACTAGCACCCCTACGTCAAGACGTTACACTAAAGAAGAAGTTAGTTATACAAATGGCTCCTACTCTGAAATCTTAGAAGAGACCTTTACATCAAAAGTAAAGATTACAACGGAAAGTTCATCAGCACTGCATTTGGAAGACGCAGAGAACAAACTGAGTAACACACTCTCTTCCTATGTTGATAAGGTGAGCATTGGGGGAAGGGGGAGTGATGATTTCATCCTTGAGTCTTTGCACGAACATAAGGACGAAATGCAGGAAGCACGGAGAAAGCGAAGTGCACACATAAACAAGACAAAAGATAGGAGGCTTATGCAAAGCATAATGCTACAATCAGGCTTTGTCAGCCAGGGAGAATCAGATAGATGACTGATAATTATAGGAATTCACAGGAGCTTGATCATCATGGGTCCTTGATGGACTGGATAGAACTACTGTAATCAGTTTGTGTTTACTGCTCACATACATAGCTATTACCTCGTATCACTTACTTCAGTGTTTCCCAAACTAGTCCTCAAACTCACCATCAGTCCACGTTTTGTCAGCATCTACATTGGGATAAAACAGGGAAATACATAAATCCTGGATTGTTGGTGGGCCATGAGGACTGGTATAGGAGCCACTAACTCACTTGACTAATGTTATACGCAACTTGAAAATTGATGTAGGGTAGTGATGGCTAATACTGCATATTTTTATAAACTACATTTCCCAAAATACTGGGACATTAAAGGACCACTATAGGCATCCAGACCACTTCAGCTCAATGAAGTGGTCTGGGTGCCAGGTCCATCTAGGGTTAACCCTGCCTGCTGTAAATATAGCAGTTTCAGAGAAACTGCTATGTTTACATATGGGTTAATCCAGCCTCTAGCGGCTGTCTCATTGACAACTGCTAGAGGCTCTTCCGCGCTTCTCACTGTGATTTTCACAGTGAGAAGACGCCAGCGTCCATAGGAAAGCATTGAGAATGCTTTCCTATGGACTGACTGAATGCGTGCGCATGCACATTCAGCCAATGACGTCCAAAGGGATTGAACTTAGATACAATAGAGGATTGAATTTAATATGTATAGAACTATAAATGGTAGAAGGCTGCTTTAAAAAAAAAGTTGTATAATGCTTAAAAACGTTTAGATTACAATGTGTTTTTTAGTGCTGTATTAAGGATATTGAGTACACGATAACACTTATTTTGCAAAATTAGACGTAACTTGATGGAATGAAAATATCTGTTTCTTTTTAAAAAGATCCTTATATAATTTTATTTACATGGCAAAATATTGAACAGAATAAAATGAAATGTATCCAAAATAGTTGTGAAATGTATCCTGTATAAACATGGAATTAATTGGACCAACACTGTGGACCACTGACTTCTAAGAGTTAGCAGTGACTTGCAGCATCACCCTGGTGGTTTGAAAGGATAAGTTCAAGTGACAAGTAAAAGATAAAGGAAACAGGGATGATATCATGTGCACCAAGGATAGGAGTTAAAATCATCTTGTTATTCACAATTTTCACATAGAAAAATAACATGCTGTGCATCTTACATTGTACTTTTTATAGTAAGGATCATGTGTCATTAAAACTCATAGTTGGGTCCACAGAAATGATTCAATTAATATTAAAATCAGCTAGAACCAATTAATGTTTAAATTAGAACATGGACATATGGTTGTAACATATTCCTCCACACCTTGCGGTATTCAATCCATGCGTCTGTGTACCTGACTCCTGCAACATCTTGATGGGCGCCGGCCGCTGCGGATCCACGCCAGATTATAGCCCCATGTCTGCCCATGTTGATGACGACGTTGGCGTGCGTGTGAGGTCACGCGGGAGACACGCGTGCACGTTCTGGGGTCAAAGGCCGATTTTGCCCAATCAGATTTGTGAAGGGCTTATTTAAACACAATTTTACTTTTCCTCATTGCCCTGTCATGGTTTCCCTTAGTGGTTGTCCGAGAGTGTGTTCCTGAGCGTTTATTTCTGGTTATTGACTTTGGCTTCGTTTTGACTTCCCTGTATTTTTGCATCAGTGACTACTGGCTTTCCCTTATCGTTGTGTCTCATTCTGTTGTCCCCGACCTCGACAAGTATTCTGACTAATCTTTGGTACGTTAGGTCCGACCATTCTAAGGTCCGGTAAGACGTTACCTATTAGTCCTAGGTGTGATACAGTTCTATGTGTGGATCAACTAGTAATCCTGACAATGGTTCCCATTGCTGACCCGATTCAACCTGCTTGACATCAAACGACCATCTGTTTAAATGAGAAAATCAGATTTAGACTAATTGTGGTCACACTTTTAAACTGCAAAGATATAGCTTTAGAACTAAAATTATATGATAGTTCTTACAATGCTTAAAAACGCACTCTAAACAGAATAACAGTTATAGCTTAGGGCAATGTTATGTGCACTGTTCTGTAGAGTCTCTGCATCAATCCCACAGTCTTATGAAAAATACTTAAAAGTGTTGTGATAAAAAAAACATAGCTCTCTGTGGAACCAAGAGACCAACCCCTGTTTAGCCATATTGATCATGCAGAATTAATTCTTCCGTCTTCATCCAAGCTAGATGGAGACTATTGGCTGAGAAATTGACTTTTATAATTTTAAGTGTAAGTGCAGTATCATTGTAACTGAATAGTGGGATGTCTCTGGGTGCCATTAAAGGACCACTATAGTGCCAGGAAAACATACTCGGCTCTGGAAGGGGGAAAGGGGTAAAAACTTACCTTTTTCCAGCGCTGGGCGGGGAGCTCTCTGCCTCCTCTCCTCCTCCGTTCCTCCTCCTGGGCTGAATGCGCACGCGCGGCAAGAGCTGCGAGCGCATTCAGCCTGTCGCATAGGAAAGCATTTACAATGCTTTCCTATGGACGCTTGCGTGCTCTCACTGTGAAAATCACAGCGCCTCTAGTGGCTGTCAATGAGACAGCCACTAGAGGATGAGGGGGAAGGCTTAACCCATTCATAAACATAGCAGTTTCTCTGAAACTGCTATGTTTATTAAAAAATGGGTTAACTCTAGAAGGACCTGGCATTAAGCTCAAGTGGTCTGGGTGCCTAGAGTGGTCCTTTAAAGTAGTACTGTCACCATCTGGGGGGGAGGGGTGAAACAGGTAAAGGTGAGATTTACTTATCCAAACCTGTCCCCTGTGTACGTAACCATCTTGAACTGGTGAGTCCTCTTAAGAGACAACATCACTACTGTACTCTCCCACTTTATTGAGGTCTATAGAGGATCCCGTGAGCTTGGGAGCTTAGCCACTGGTAACGGCTATCAGAATTGAAACTTAGACTCCCACCTGAGTCTAAGAAAAGTGAGGCAAAAGGAAATACAGAGATAAAAAAGTCCCTTCAGTATATATCTTGACGATGTTGGAATTTCAGTGAAATACACACATCAAATACTAATTTTTGGGGGGAGTGACAGTATTGCTTTAAGAGCTCCGTTTTAAAATGTGTAACATAAAACAGTACTGGACAGTATTCAGCAGCTCTATACAACATGTGAGCACTACACTGGTCTATAGCATTTATTTTACTTACCGTATCACTTCAACAAATGTGAAATAGACTATAAATCCTTTACTTTCTCTATTATAGATTAGATATTTGGAGAAACAGCGAGAAATTTTAGATGAACGCTGGACCATGCTGCAGGATGTAAAGGACTCCCAAATTGATCTGGAACCTATTTACTTATCATACATCAGCCGCCTTCTAGGGCAGGTGAATCGTGTGGCACAGAAGAACCACCAAACACAGACCAACTTGCTGGACATGATGGATTCCATCAGTGACGACAAGGATAGGTTGGTTGGGTTTCTGTGGATACATTTTATAAATGTTAATGATTGTTATAATCATGAAGAATGATATTACAAAGAGCATTAAAAGCTGCATTGGACTAACATTGAACAAAAGGACGCCAAAGATCACATGGCAGCACTTGGATACATTTGTCCTGGCCTGTCTGAGATTAGTGGGAATTGCATTGCAAGGCAGCTGCCACTATAAATTAAATAATTCTCACATTACTGATATATTGGAAGAGGGCTTTAGAACCAGGGACTCTGGGATTCTCTCTCCCAAGTGCTTCTCTCCCAGCATGTCATTAACCCCTTAAGGACCAAACTTCTGGAATAAAAGGGAATCATGACATGTCACACATGTCATGTGTCCTTAAGTGGTTAAAGGGATAATTTAAAAATTAAAGATAGCAGCCATAAATAGCAGTTACTGCTATTTACCTTCCACCAGACACAGGGATATGTATAACTTGGTGCTGCCCTAAAATTAAAGGCGTTCTAAAACTGGTTCTTGTTTTAGAAGTAACATTAGCCATAACATTAACTCCAAGTATTCTTAAATTACTTTACCTTAATTTCATGTTTGTTTGTGTCTTGTGTTTATTATGATAACCAGAACTCCTTGATGGAATTTTCCCATAACACAAGCTCCATAGGTATATAAACATATATATAGTGGGGTAAGGATTTCCTAATGTTAAAGGGATTCTCTAGTGCCAGGGAAACAAACCCTTTTTAATGGCACTAAAGAACCCTGTGGTGCCACCCTCCCTCCAACCCTATCATCCCATGTCACTGAAGATTCAGACACTTACCTGAATCCAGCGCTGATGTCCCTCGGCGCTGAGTCAGGCTCTGCCCATACTCCTCCCCTGCTGACGTCAGCTGGCGGAGATCAAATACACATGCGCGGCAATGGCCGCATTAAGATTTCCCCATAGGAAAGCATTATTCAAAGCTTTAGTATGGGAATTCCGGTGACACTGGAAGTCCTCATGCATAGCCTGAGGACGTCCAGCATTGTTAAGATGACCAAAGGTCGTCTAAGCACCCCTTGTAGACAACCACTAGAGGAGGACTTTTCTCAGAAACTGCAATAATTACCACTGTAGGGTTAATTGACATGGGACATTGCACTCAGACCACTTCAATGAGCTTAAGTGGTCTTGATGCCTACAGTGTCCCATTAAGTAAAACCCATTAAGTAAAACCATTTCTCTGAAACTGCTATGTTTATTAAAAAAAAAGGGTTAATCCTAGAGGGACCTGGCAGTGGTCTGGGTGCCTAGAGTGGTCCTTTAAGACTTGTAGGCCTTGTCAGCCAATTTTGCTTTAGGCACAATGAGCAAGGGGTCCACATCTGGATTACCCTTTAAACCTAGGGAGAGCAAAAACACAGAGTGCAAGAGAATACTGAGAACAGACAACAGCACAAGTAGCTTGCCCTTTGGTGCGTCCCTGCTCAGATCTTCTGCATTTCCATATTGGACTGATCCCACCCAAAAGGGTGGTCCAGATCCAAAATGCAGGCCAGCTCTCTCTGCACAAGAGATGCAGCAACACCAGATGATTATTTAAAGGACCACTATAGTGCCAGGAAAACATACTCGTTTTCCTGGCACTATAGTGCCCTGAGGGTGCCCCCACCCTCAGGGTCCCCCTCCCGCCGGGCTCTGGGGAGAGGAAAGGGGTTAAACTTACCTTTTTTCCAGTGCCAGGCGGGGAGCTCTCCTCCTCCTCTCCGCCTCCGATCCTCCTCTTCGGCTTAATGCGCATGCGCGGCAGGAGCTGCGCGCGCACTCAGCCTGTCTCATAGGAAAGCATTGATAATGCTTTCCTATGGACGCTGGCGTCTTCTCACTGTGATTTTCACAGTGAGAAGCACACAAACGCCTCTAGCGGCTGTCAATAAGACAGCCACTAGAGGCTTTAGAGGCTGGATTAACACATTTATAAACATAGCAGTTTCTCTATAAAAAAAAAGGGTTAATCCTAGAGGGACCTGGCACCCAGACCACTTCATTAAGCTGAAGTGGTCTGGGTGCCTAGAGTGGTCCTTTAACCCCTTAAGGACCAAACTTCTGAAATAAAAAGGAATCATGACATGTCACACATGTCATGTGTCCTTAAGGGGTTAAGACTTGTAGGCCTTGTCAGCCAATTTCGCTTTAGGCTCGAGCAAGGGGTCCACATTTGGATTACCCTTTAAACCTAGGGAGAGAAAAAACACAGAGTGCAAGAGAATACTGAGAACAGACAACAGCTCAAGTAGCTTGCCCTTCGGTGGGTCGTGTATTGAAGTGCACTAAGTGTAGGTCTGCTTAGTGTACCTTGAACAGAATCAAAATGATAAGTAAAATCAATCCAATATAGTAATCTGAGTATCTCATGCCTGTGTAGTAGTTATACTTACTAACGTCTGTAGCATTTAATTAGGAATATCTACCTATGCATCTAGGTCTGCTGATTTGGACTGTTAACAGAAATCTTTGGGCCACTTACAAATCAAGTGCACAATTATAAACATATACAAAGCTACATACTGCCAGACAAACACACATATACATACTACCACTCACACACAAAAAGATACACATTGCCAGACATACATATATGTACACACTCAGATGCACGTTCACAGATACACACTGCCAGACATAAAATACACAGATATATACTCCCATATACGCACACTCAGATACAAACTGCCAGGCAAACATACAAAGCTTTACTCTACCAGACACACACACTCTCAGCAGGGGCGTACCCAAGGCATTTGACACCTGGGGTGGATCCTTTATTTAACACCCCCTCCCCATCCCCCAACTTTAAAATGTAAAAAAACATATGCAAATATTTCTAATGTATTTAGCACTGAACAGTGTTTGTTTGAACGTAATCATGGTTTTGTATGGAGTATGTGTGAGTGCCTGTAGGGGTGTGTTTGTATGTAGTGTTGGTATTTGAATGCAGGCGTACATTTGTGTGTAGTGTTGGTTTTTAATATGGTGGTGTGTTTGTATGTAATGTTGACATTTGAATACAGCAGTGTATTTTCGTGTAATGTTGGCAAAATGCTGAGATGTATGCACATATACACCCACTGACACACATGCAGATACATAGACACACAGGTGCACACTGACAGACAGATACACATACACACATGCAGATACACAGATAAACAGCTACACACACTGACACACATACAGGCACACATACAGATACACAGACACACACTGACACACATGCAGCTACACAGACACACAACACTTAAACACAGATACAAACACAGAAACACAGGTACAAACACTGACACACATACAGATACACAGGCACACAGATACATACTCTGACACTCCTACAGATACACATATGCAGATACAGACATGCATACAGATACATAGACACACAGGTACAGATATAGGCACACAGATACATAAACAGACACAAACACTGACCCACATACAGATACACAAACATATACAAATAGATATACACAGACACACAGGTACAGACATAGACACGCATGCAAATACATGTAAACAGACACATGTACAGATTACAAACACAAATACAGATACACAGATCCAGAAACACAGATACCCATATAGACACACATACAGATACACGGATACACAGATACAAACACTGACAAACATACAAATACACAGATACACAAACAGTCACAAACACTGACCCACATACAGATACACAGACACATACAGATAGACATATACAGACACACATGTACAAAGATATAGACATACAGATACACAGACACATACAAATAGATATATACAGACACACAGGTACAGACATAGACACACATACAGATACATGTAAACAGACACATGTACAGATTACAGACACAAATACAGATACACAGATACAGAAACACAGCTACACGTATAGACACACATACAGATACCCAGACACACAGATACACACATAAACACAAATACATATATACAGACACACAGATACTCACACTGGCACACATACAGATACACAGGTATAATTGTGTGTGTATAGTGGTTGCAGTGTGTGTATAAAGGCAGACTAACTTGTCAGGCCCATTACAGCAGACAAAATGCCACCCCTGTCAAAGTGCACGTTGGGCACCGCAATAATGAGTGGCATCCAAGGTGGATTGCCCCTACCCCCTCTTAGTTCACCACTTACACTCAGGAACCCATGCACAGGATGCAGGTTGGTGGCTTCCTTGGTTTCTAGTGATCAGCTTTATCTTACAGTTCAAGGAATCCTTCTCTGCTGTCTAAAACCCTTTGAACTAAGTTGCATATTTCAGTTCATTGTGACTAGGTAAAAAATATATATCTGGCCAACAGAACCAAATAACAATATACAGCACCCTAAACAGGCACCGGAGCTTGGCTCAGCCTTTGCGGAGGTACTTCCTATACCTCCTAATGGTGGCCATGCCAGTGATGCTAACTTTCAGCTCCGCTCCTGTTATGGACATTATTATCTGAAACTATAGCCATATTGATTTTGGGGGAGACTTTACACAAGTCAATTTGTGGTTGTACTTGTTCTAATTCTTTATAGACAACTAGTTATAATTTTACTTTATTTCAACTCTAGAACAGTCTCCTCAGTACAGTAATATATTATTATGTCTTTTCTCCAATTCAGTGCTTCCTAAAGAAAAGCAGGGGCACAATACGGTGCATTCCCAGCCATCTGTCAGTTTGAGAGCCACTAGAGGCATGGTAAACCCTGTAATATTTTACCTATGCTATCTTAGCCTAAATTGTCCAAATTATGATTAATAATTCTTAATTGATTTAAATAGTTTGTCATCTTTACCTACATGTTGTAAATAACTTGTTATTGAAGAAAGTAGTAGTTGATCTGATTTTTTTTTGTTACCATACATTAGCTTCAAGTGCTGAATTCTCGCCAAGCTTGTTAAATTCCATTGCTATTATTCAGTAGGTAATTTCATAGTTTAATATGCCTATAAATCTAATTTTAAAACTGGGAAGTAGACACGTTTATTAAATTTAATGTTCGTTACATTAATTTCCCTTTGAATTGTGCAGAAGAATTTTACTATAATTACTAGATTTGGCTACAGCTGACATCAATAGAAAACCTCAACAAAGTTAATTCAACGTAGTCTGATGTCTTAATATTAGTTGTTTTTTTTCCTGTTTGAAAAACTGTAGCTCTTAAGATAAAATTTGAAACAGTAACACATCTAATACAAAGTTGCTAATCTGCTGTAAATGTAAATTTAAATAGAATTCAACTACCTACTAATATGTTTATAATCTATCTATAGCATTCTATGTTTGTATAGTTCATTCTCAAATATTTGCAGCAACATGAATTTTAAGTGTTTCAAACACTATCCTACATCTGTTAGTCAACTAAAAGTCCTCTGACATTTTGCCAGATATTTGCTCAATTTTCAAATGGAAGTCTTCACAAGTGTTGTAGTCTGAATCAAGTCTGAGGTCCGGAATTTGACTATACAACCTTTTATTGCATATAATCTGCTAGCAGGCTACCAACATCATAACATTCAATCTAATACCGTCTCAATCACAAACACTGCACAGTTTTTAACTTGTAATACTGATGCTGGAGGTTTTGAAGAATTAGAAACATGTTTTTGATTCAGATGTTGCAGACTAAAGTTTGAAATTGACTTTGAACTCATTTTGATTCCCTAACAATTCACATTTAGAGAGAGGTTTACTTACTAGGCTGAGAGTGTTTGATGCGTGATGGGAAAACCCAGAAATAGCTTGAAGGACCACTATAGTGCCAGGAAAACAAACTCGTTTTCCTGGCACTATAGTATTAATAGGTCCCCCCCCTCCCTCATGGCCCCCCTCCCACCGGGCTGAAGTGGGAGGAAGGGGTTAAACGCTTACCTTTCTCCAGCGCCAGGCTCCCTCGGCGCTGGGGACTCTCCTCCTCCTTCGGAAGTCATCGACTGAATGCGCAATGCCCGGCAAGAGCCGCGCGCATTCAGTCAGTCCATAGGAAAGCATTGTTAATGCTTTCCTATGGACGGTAGCGTATTCTCACTGTGAAAATCACAGTGAGAAGCGCGAAAGCGTCTCTAGCGGCTGTCAGTGAGACAGCCACTAGAGGCTTGATTGACCCATATGTAAACATATGTTTACAGCAGGCAGGGTTCACCCTAGAGGGACCTGGCACCCAGACCACTTAATTGAGCTGAAGTGGTCTGAGTGCCTATAGTGGTCCTTTAACAAACCCCCCCAAAAAACCACAAACACCCTGACAATTTTATTTGGGAAAATTATCACAGCTTTAATAATAATATAAATAATACTTACAATACTTTAAAGTCATTGTCCACATATTAACATAACATATCAACCCCAACTCCTTTAACAATCATACCCCAGACAATGACCCACATCACAATAAGTAAGACCACATTATGACATATAATTAACATATAAACATAACCATTGACACTGAGGGCATGTTTTCCAGCTTTCTTTCATGTAGGGGCATACCGAGATACATCCTACACACACCAGGTTCGGAGCTACCAACGAGCTCGAACATACCAATACCCTTCCAAACCTAACTGTTCTTAGCGAACTAAACTATTTTACATCAGGACAACCAACCTACACCACAACTTATCTATCCATCCCCCTCCGCTGTGACCAAACAGGAGCTAATTACAATTAAGGGAGAGAGGGTGGGACAAAACAGGTGAGGAGGAAGATGGCCCCGATATAAAATGGCCACTACATATACTCCTCTAGCAAAATCCCACCTCCAGTTATCCTAGCCAGTGCCTCCCACTACACCCCTCATATGCCTGTCTCCTAGCAATGTCAAGGCCCATTCCCCTTAGCTATGTTGCTCCATGGGCTACAGTATGTAGGTCCAACAAGGCAGGTGATTGTGGGATGGCCATCCCTGCGACCGCCATGCCTATCATCCTCAGGCAGCTGTGGGACGTCCACTACAAATTGTGCATACTGCTTTTCCCTGAAATACATGCTGTTACTCCTGATGCTATCACAACACAGGATCACAATGACAATCAGTTACAGTGGTCCCATGTCATTAATTAACAGCTGATCCCCAGCTTCTGCAGTGTTTTCCGGGATCACTTGTGCACAACGAGAAAATTTGGTGACTAAACCATTTTTTCCATCAATATATTTTATTTCAGTTCAGCAGAATTTCCACTATATGGCAATTTAGCCCAACAGAACTTCAGTAACGAAACACTGATTTGGGAAATGAATCGGACAAACCAAAAGTGAGAAAGAATTAGCCAATGAATATTATGTATATAATTATGTATATGTTCTTAATAAAGACCTGTTTGGTCGAAACATTGATCCATATTGGCAACATTCTAAATATATATATTTTTTTTTTGGAAATCCATTGAGTGCTCTCATCTTTATCATAATATATATATACACACTGATAGGCGCATTTTCGTGCCATTTGGTCACAAAATAGGAGGAGCAGTAAAAACAATGTATATTTATATAACACACAAAATGGGCGGTAGCAATGACTACAGTACACATCAGCCACTATACATAGAATAAAAACAAAAAAAGAAAGTTTCCTACACTAACAATTCACCTTGCTTTTGAAAATCTCTAATAGGACAGAGAGGGGTATATTTCTAAACTATTATACACTTATTAACCCTTAAAAGGGAACGCATGGGGATGATGGCAGCACTGTAACATGGCTATATAATTCAAAAGCAAATACAAACATGCAAAATTAAGCCTTGTGACAAAATTCCCACTACTGCTAGGCGACAGCAATAATTATAGTACACATTAGCCCCAATATATAGCACAAACACTATTAAAGAAACCACTTTTTATGGATGATTTGCACTTTGGAATGTAACGAATCTCCAAGCTTAGAAGCGAGCAAAGAGGAATGTCAAAATTAGGGCACATCTCTAATCTGATCTATAAATTGCCCTCGAACAAGACAAATGTATACATTTGGAATATTGCTATACTCAGCAACAGTAGCAGAATGCAAATCATTGTCTTTACAGAAGTGGCACATATATGATTTGTCAAAATGACACATGTTTAGGAAAATCACAAACAAATTAACTATACCTAGCAGTTTAGACTGGGTTGGTGACAAAATGGTGAAATGAAAACTAGCAAAATACTGGTAGCTATATATATTCTTTTGTGTAGCGATTTTGATTCTGTGACTGCTATTAAAGGGATAATATAAGTGCATGGAATCAGTGGTGTATTTAGGTTTTGTGCTGCCCCCCCTTATTTAAATTTTCCCCACCTCTTCCTGCCAAGGCCGCACTTTGACTGACAGACGCTCACTCACTGAGAGACGCACACATTCACTGATAGATGCATACACTCATTGACAGACACTCTCATATACACTGACAAACAATGACATACACACACTCTCTGATTTGACACACTAATAGACAGACATACACTTACTCGGACACACACTCACTGACAGACTCACTGACAGACGCACACTCTCACTGACAGACTCACGCACTGACTGACCGACACATACACACTGACTGACACTGACACACACTTACTTAAATTCACTGACATACACATTCACTGAAACACACACACTCATTGACAGACACACACACTCACACACATTCACTGAAACACACACACTCACATTCACTGACACACACATTCACTCACATTCACTGACACACACTCACTCACATTCACTGACACTCACATTCACTGACACACACTCACTCATATTCACTAACACACACACTTCCCCACACTCACAATTATTATTATTATTATTATTTAAAAATTAAATCGACCCAGCCTCCCTACGTTTGGGATAGCTGGGTGGATTTCTCACCTGGGGTCCAGTGGGGCTGCTAGGCAGGAAGGCGGATGGACGTGCAGTTTTCAGCGAGGGAGCACTTTCCACTGAGCTCTCTGCTCAGCTCCCTTGCGCGACCTGCAGAGTGATGCCGGAAGCCAGAATATGACATCATATTCCAGTTCCCGGCATTGCTGCGGGTCGCGCAAGGGAGCTGAGCAGAGAGCTCAGGGGAGAGTGCTCCCTCGCTGCCTAAGAAACAACTGCCAGCTGCCCCGGGGGAGCCCAAAGGTGGGCAGCCGGCCAGTTCTTGTGTTCCCATAAAACGAGGCAAACAAGATATTTGCCTGGACATTTGGGGGTGACGTTTTTTGCCGCACCCTGGAAATTGCTGCCAAAGGCAAATGCCTTGTTTGCCTCGCGGTAGACACATCCCTGCATGGAATACAAAACGATTTGCACTAACCAAGATGGCATGAAAATTGGCCAGTCAGTGTACTGCAAAATATATAGACAATGTTAACATAATATTAGATATATTTTGCAGTACACACCAATAGGCATATTTCTTAGAGGGCAACAAGAGGAGAAGTAGTAACAAAATGTATATTTATATATTATATATTTATTAAATACTTTGCTGCAGAGGGATTTAGATAGACTGGGGGACAGGGCACTCAAATGTCAGATGAAATTTAATGTTGAAAAATGCAAAGTTATGCACTTGGGCATATAAAATGCACAAGCAACGTATACTTAATGGAAGCGAATTAGGGAAAACAACACATGAAAAGGACTTGGGAATTGTTATAGACAACAAACTATGCAATAATGTGCAATGTCAATCAGCAGTGGCTAAGGCTAGTAAGGTATTGTCATGCATGAAAAAGGGCATTAATTCTCAGGATGAGAATATCATTTTGCCTCTTTATAAATCACTGGCAAGACCACATATTGACTATGCTGTGCAATTTTGGGCACCTGTTCTAAAGAAGGTTATTATGGCACTAGAAAAAGTGCAGATGCGGGCTACAAAATGAATAAAAGGAATGGAACATATCAGCTATGAAGAAAGGTTAAAGGACCACTCTAGGCACCCAGACCACTTCAGCTCAATGAAGTGGTCTGGGTGCCAGGTCCCTCTAGGAATAACCCTTTTTTTTATAAACATAGCAGTTTCAGAGAAACTGCTATGTTTATAAATGGGTTAATCCAGCCTCTAAAGCCTCTAGTGGCTGTCTCATTGACAGCCGCTAGAGGCGTTTGCGTGCTTCTCACTGTGAAAATAACAGTGAGAAGACACCAGCGTCCATAGGAAAGCATTAGGAAATGCTTTCCTATGAGACTGGCTGAATGCGCGCGCAGCTCCTGCCGCGCATGCGCATTCAGCCGAAGAGGAGGATCGGAGGCGGAGAGGAGGAAGAGAGCTCCCCGCCCGGCGCTGGAAAAAAGATAAGTTTAAACCCTTTCCTTGCCATCCTGCCCGGTGGGAGTGGGACCCTGAGGGTGGGGGCACCCTCAGGGCACTATAGTGCCAGGAAAATGAGTATGTGAAATTCTCTGCCTAAAGAAGTGGTTTTATCAGAGTCCATATAGATGTTCAAACAGCAACTAAATGCATACTTGCAAAAACAGAATATAATTTTTCAATGTAGGGTAATAGCTGCTTGATCTGCCATTCTGGGGTCAAGAAGGAATTTTTTTCCTAGTTTGTTGCAAAATTGGAAGTGCTTCAAACTGGGTTTTTTTGCCTTCTTTTGGATCAACAACAAAAACAAATGTGAGGAAGGCTGAACTTGATGGACTTAAGTCTCTTTTCAGCTATGTAACTATATAAATATATAATTAAAGATTTTAGTTTTAACTGCTTCTCTTATTTTTCACTCTAACAAATGTGTACAGCAAAATATATAAAAAAAAAAATAAACACTAAATTGGCAACCTATTTTTCAGTTAGCAATCAGCTTATGCGTACATCTCACAAGTGAAACTTTTGCTTTAAAGGACCACTATAGTGCCTGGAAAACATACTCGTTTTCCTGGCACTATAGTGTCCTGAGGGTGCCCCCACCCTCAGGGTCCCCCTCCCGCCGGGCTCTAGGGGGAGGAAGGGGTTAAACTTACCTCTTTCTCCAGCGCCAGGCGGAGAGCTCTCCTCCTCCTCTCCGCCTCTTCTCCGGCTGAATGCGCATGTGCGGCAGGAGCCGCGGGCGCATTCAGCCAGTCCATAGGAAAGCATTCACAATGATTTTCACAGTGAGAAGCGCAGAAGCCCTCTAGCGGCTGTCAATGAGACAGCCACTAGAGGCTGGATTAACCCTATTATAAACATAGCAGTTTCTCTGAAACTGCTATGTTTATAGAAAAAAGGGTTAATCCTAGCTGGACCTGGCACCCAGACCACCTCATTAAGCTGAAGTGGTCTGGGTGCCTATAGTGGTCCTTTAAACATAAGTCTAAATTAAAAACAAACACGTATAATTGAAAAAAAATGCAGCCGTGGTGTGTCAATTAGATATTTTTGAGTACTGGCAGATTTTCAAGACACATATTTGAAGGAAACAACTGAAAATACCAGGATATTTTTCATGTTTCAATAAAGAACCTAAATAAAATTCACACCGATAATAGATGATCATGTTGCTTCATCTTCTAACTCTCCCTACGTTATTATCTATGTAACAAATAAACATTGTTCCAGAGTAGCACAGCTCTATGTGACAATAACTCTTTGTGCTAACTGCAGACTGTTGTCTAAGTCTTCTGGGTATCGAGGTTTGAAAGGAATCTTCCTGTTGTGATTTAAGAATACATTTCAGTTATCATCATTATTATTTGATTATGGATTTTGTTTACAGCCAGCAATTTTTTAGGGGGAATCTACAATATAACACAGTCACAAACATGTCAGTATATGGAAAACAATACACAAAATGTAACATACCAAACACATAGATACTTACTAGCATATTCGTACTGAGCAAAAAAAGATGTCATATTAGGATAATAAATAAATAAATAAGAAATAATGTAATAAATTACCTTAGTGCCCTTCTCAACCCAAACCATTATATCTAATCTCACTCAAGCTCAGATTAGAGTCCATTTGTAAATAAAATAGGCATTGGTTTAATATTCTTTTAAAAAAAGCTTTTCAAACAATGTCATATTTTTAAATAAATGTTTAAAGGGATTTTTCCAAAATATTAAAAATATCAAGACATATTATTTTATATATATATATATATATATATATATATATATATCAAACACATAGGAAATATGTGACAAAATGTTAATGTTTTTCATTATATTAAACAATTATTTCATTATTATGCAATATTTTTTATATATTTTTATATAATAATACTTTTTTTACATGATATATTTTTACATTATAATATTTAGCAAAGCCAGTTATACAGAGATGCGGTGAGCCCCTTCATATGTAACTTATAGAATTTCTACACCTACGAAGCTCCAGCACTTACATTCACTCTGAATCATATTTTGTTGAATGATTTAAATTGACAAATTGCCACGGACAGCAATACCAGTAGCCAGAGAGCTATAATTTTCATATGATGCACATGGCATGTGTTCATTCACCTGCTTTGCCAGTTCTGGGCTGAACAAGCTATATATTTATTTATATTAATTAGTATATAATTATATCCAGATTTCTCCCAAACTGTTTCAATGCGTATTGACTCTATAATCTGAATTGTATTGGTGGTATTCCAAAACAGAGACACCAAATTACTGGGAGGAGACCCATAATTTAATCTAGATAATACAATCCTGTTTGTGTTTTGCTAGAGTCTTACTCAGGTTGGTTTAAATGTCATCATAATAATAAGGGAATTTTAAAAGGAGCTGTCATCACTCGCTTTAGTTTGTATCACACCTTAGAGTTAGAACATAGTAACAATCGCCCCTATGCATTTGCATTCCAAACGCTATGCTTAATTTGCCATTTCACAATGCATTACAAAGCATTTTTCCAGTTACATGTAAATATAACTTTTAATACAATGTGTTTAATAGTAGAAAACACCACAGTACGTGTATATTTTGTTTTAGCACTGTGTGTAGATTTTTTTTAGCAGCGCACACTGGTAAATAGTTTTCAAGTGCGTTCATAAAACTGTACAGCATGTTTGCCTCTTACATATATTTATATTAAAGTGGTACTCTGCATTAATAAAGTTTTATGAATGTTTAAAGAAACACTATAGTGTAGGAATACAATTGTGTATTCCTCACACTATGGGTCTGAAAGCGCCATTTAGGTGGACGGCCCACCCTTACCCTTATTACCTGCTGGCCCTGCTGCCACTCCTCCTCCTTGGCTGAGATCATCAGATTTGATGATCTCAGCCAATGCAATGCTTTCACATAGTATAGCATTGGGAGGCTTTTGTGCATGAATGTCAAAATGCTATGATGGCCAATCAGCATCTCCTCATAGAGATGCTTTGAATCAATGCATCTCTTTTAGGAATGTTCAGCGCCTACATGCAGAGCGTGGGGACGCTGAAGGTCAGTGCTGCGCAATTTGTAGCACTGACACAGAAAGCACCTCTAGTAACCATCTGAGTGACGGCCACTAGAGGTATCACTAAACAGTAATGTTTCACTGAAAAGGCAGTGTTTTAATTAAAAAGCCTGCAGGGACACGCAGTAGACAGTAGACCAGTAGACATCAGAACAACCATATTATGCTGTAGTTGTTCTGGTGACTATAATGTCCTTTTGTTTAAGCAAAATACAAAACTACAGTATCAGGTTGAATTTTCCAAAATGAATATGAATTTGTGAAGTTCTAACCAATCAGAATCTTCAACCGTTATAAGGTCTTTCCAAAAGTTACAGGTAGATTGAACCTAGTTGGGCCTAAATTAAATTATGTTTCATAGCTAAATATTTGATATTAAATGAAAGCCATGTTTCCCCTGAATAAAATTATATATAGTAAGGGTGGGTGCATTTAATATGAAAGAGGTGAATTACGGTTGGACAGACATATAGCGCAAATGCCAGGTTTTGTTTACGTTTTGTTTTGTTTACAACGTGTACATTTGGCTCAGTCCTTAACCCCTTAAGGACTGGACTGTTTTTGCGATGTTGTACATTTGCCACCAGGCATATTTTTACACTTTTGTGGTGTTTGTGTTTGGCTGTAATTTTCTGCTCTCTCATTTACTGTTCCCATACAAATTATATATTGTTTTTTTCAGAACAAAAGGGGCTTTCTTTACATACCATTATTTATATAATCTCATGAATTTTAATAAAAAAATAAAAAAATATGATGAAATTTTTTTAAAAAATACATGTTTTTTGACTTTTACTTGAAAAATCTTTTACTCATCTACAAAAGCGAATGAAAAAAACTGCTAAAAAGATTCAAAATTTTGTCCTGAGTTTAAAAATACCCAGTGTTTACAGGCTTTTTTTTGCATGTTATAGGGCTATAAGTACAAGTAGGATATTGCGGTTTCAAAACATACATTTTTTAAATTTATCAATAGTGACATTGTAACACTATTATCTGTAATAAATCTCTGAATAACACCCCACATGTACATATTTTTTTTAAAGTAGACAACCCAGGGTATTCAATATGGGGTATGTCCAGTCTTTTTTAGTAGCCACTTAGTCGAAAACACTGGTCAAAGTAAGCATTCATATATGTTTGTGTGTGAAAAAAGTAAAAAAAGTAAATTGAACGCTAATTTTGGCCAGTGTTTGTGACTAAGTGGTTACTAAAAAAGACTGGGCATAACCCATTTGCAATACCTTGGGTTGTCTTCTTTTGCAAATGGTATGCCATCATGGGGGTAATTCTCATTCCTGTGCTACCATACGCTCTCAAAGGCAACGTAACCAACCTGGCCATTTTCAATGTAAAAATATTTGACCCATATATTTGACCTTGTAACTTTCAAAAATGCTATAAAACCTGTACATGGGGGGTACTGTTTTACTCGGGAGACATCGCTGAATACAAATATTAGTGTTTAAAAACTGGAAAACGTATCACAACAATTATATCATCAGTAAAAGTGCTGTTTGTGTGTGAAAAATGCAAAAGAAGTCACTTTCACTGACAATATCATCGCTGTGATATGCTTTACTGTTTTGAATCACTAATATTTGTGTTCAGCAAGTCTCCCGAGTAAAACAGTACCCCCCATGTACAGGATTTAGGGTGTCGTAGAACGTTACAGGGTAAAATACAGTGCTAGCAAATTAAATTCTCTGGACTTTCGGCCTGGGTTGGCAGGCAGGTTCCTCAAATTGCAATCAATAAAATTACTTAATTATGTAAAAATATTACCTAAATACGCACGTAGAATTTAAATATATATGCATATTTATATATTTGAAATCTACGTGTATATTTATATAATTATTTATGTAATTTTGTATATGGACATATGTATATTTCGTATTATTTTTATTTATTTATATATACATAGATATATATACAAATTCATTCTAAGTGTATTTTGATATAAATATATATATATATATATATATATATATATATTAATTTTAAAATACAGTTAGAATAAAATTTCATTTAGATATAATTTTTTTTAAATTTTTATTATTATTTTTAAAAAATTAATTTAATTTAAATTACTTATTATTTATATTTTATAATAATATATATACACAATATATATAGTTATTATATATATTATATATATACACGTGTGTAATTTAATAAGTGTATTTTTATATTAATATAAGTACATATTAATATAAAAATACACTTAGTATAACATTATATATATGATATATACACACATATATAATTTTTTTTTTTTTTATAAACACTAACTTTATTTTTTTTTAATTGATTTTACACTAGCAGGGAGACTGCCTGTCAGCACAGACAGTCCCCCTGCAGGCAGACACATGCATACCTATTGTGACCATGTGATCGCTATGTTAAGCGATCACATGGCCACAGGGGTCCTAAATCAGTGTGGGGAGACTGTCTGGGCTGCAGGCAGTCTCCCCACACCGGGAGCACCGCTGATCGGCGCCGGGGGAACGACGGCGATCAGGTAAGTACATTGGACCGTTAGGACGGTTCAGGACCGTCATCGGTCGGCAAGGCAAAAATGCCGATGACGGTCCTGAACCGTCCTCGGTCCTTAAGGGGTTAAGGTGTTAACCCCTTAAAGACGGAGCCAAATGTACACGTTGTGAACGAAACCAAATGTAAACAAAACCTGGCATTTGCGCTACATGTCTGTCCAACCGTAATTCACCTCTTTCATATTAAATGCACCCACCCTTATTATATATAATTTTATTCAGGGGAAACAGGGTTTTCATTAAATATCAAATAATTAGCTATGAAACATAATTTAATATGAAAAAAATGGGAGAAAATAAGATTTTGTTTGATTTTTTTAGTTCTACATGACATTTTAACTGTCAATGTCATAATACTGTTTGCTTTTACTGCAATAAAATACACATATTTGTATTCAGCAAAGTCTCACGTGTAAAACAGTACCCCCTATGTACAGGTTTTATGGCGTTTTGGGAAGTTACAGGGTCAAATATAGCACGTTACATTTGAAATTGAAATTCGCCAGATTGGTTACGTTGCCTTTAGGACTTTATAGTAGCCCAGGAATGAAATTTACACCCATAATGGCATACCATTTGCAATAGTAGACAACCCAAGGTATTGCAAATGGGGTATGTCCAGTCTTTTTAGTAGCCATTTGGTCACAAACACTGGCCAAAGTTAGCGTTAGTATTTGTTTGTGTGTGAAAAATGCAAAAAACACAAATTTTGGCCAGTTTTTGTGACTAAGTGGCTACTAAAAAAGACTGGACATACCCCGTTTGCAATACCTTGGGTTGTCTACTATTGCAAATGGTATGCCATCATAGGAGTAATTTTCATTCTTGGGCTACCATAGGGTCTCAAAGGCAACGTACCCAATCTGGCAAATTTTAATGTGGAAAAAAATGAAACACAAGCCTTATATTTGACGCTGTAACTTTTGAAAACACCATAAAACTTGTACATGAGGGGTACTGTTGTACTCGTGAGACTTCGCTGAACACAAATATTTGTGTTTCAAAACAGTAAAAAGTATCACAGCAATAATATCGTCTGTGTAAGTGCTGTTTGTGCATGAAAAATGCAAAAAACGTCACTTTTACTGGCGATATCATCGTTGTAATACATTTTACTGTTTTGAAACACTAATATTTGTGTTCAGCGAAGTCCCCCGAGTAGAACAGTACCCCCCATGTACAGGTTTTATGGTGTCTTGGAAAGTTATAGGGTTAAATATAGTGCTAGCAAATTAAATTCCCTTTACTTTCGGCATGGGTTGTCAGGCAGGTCCCGCTAATTGTAATTAATTAAGATACCCAATTATGTAAAAATATTACATAAATATATATGTAGAATTAATATATGTATATATATATACATATGTGAATATATATGTATATATATATATATATATATATATATATATAATTTTTTTAAAATATTTTTATTTATATATAGGTATATATATAGTGATATATACGTATATATTTATGTATATAGATATATATATTATTTCGTTCTACGTGTATTTTGATATAAATATATATATATTAATATCACAATACAGTTAGAACGAAATAACACACATCTATATATTTTTTAATTATTTTTTTTTAATTATTTTTTTATTTTATTTTTTAACGTATTTACATATTTAATTTTTTTTATATTATATATAAATATATATATAACAATAATTATATATATATTTAATCAGTATCAGTCTACGTGTAATTTGATATTAATATATATAATTATATATATATTAATAGTAAAATACACCTAGACAGTGTACGTGTGTGTATGTATATGTGTATATATATATATACTTAGATCATATATATTATATATATATGATCTAACTATATATATATTTTTTTTACACTTATTCATTTATTTTATTTTTATTTTCAGCAGCGGGACCACCTGTCATTACAGGCAGTCCCCCTGCTGACAATGCAGAAGGCAGCCTATCTGGCCATGTGATTGTGAGGTCCTCGCAAGGACCTCACTCTCACATGGCGGGGGGGACCGGAGGAGGAGGATCTACCGCAGGGGGGCTCCCTGGGAGTCCCCCCCCACCGCGATCGCCGGCGCGGGACCGCCGGCGACTGGGTAAGTAAGGAAAGACCGGAGAGCGTATGATTACGCCCGGCGGCGTTTAGAGCCGCCTAAAATAGGGCGTAATAGTATGCCCTCTGGTCTTAAGGGGTTAAACAGCCCTAGTCACAGATCCTTGTGCGTGGCTTCCTGTAAGTAGAAATCTAATGTTTAAACTTCCTTTATTGCACATAATGTTTAATTTAGAATTTTGTATCTCAATATCTTGTTAGATTTGCAGATGCTTCCTCTGTATGATTAAAGTTCAGTTTAGAGAGCAGCAGATAAAAACCTCTAAAGCAAGCCAACATTTGATGGAAAATGTATACCATTCTTTTTTTCATGCAGGTTGCGTCAGTCACGGGCAGGGGAGGTGTGGCTAGGGCTGAATAAACAGAAACAATGTGATTTAACTCCTAAATGACAGTGTATTGAGCAGTGAAATTACAGGGGAATGATCTATACATCAAAATTGATTAATTAATTTAAAGTTGTTTTGGTGACTATAGTGTCCCTTTAACTAATAAACCCAGAACAATATGTTTAGTCACATATTTTGTACTGTGTCCTCTTAATAGATATGAAGATGAGGTATGCCTCCGTACAGACGTGGAATATTCCTTTGTGGCGCTAAAAAAAGTAAGTAAAGTAAAGCAAGTAAAATATGAATATTCAAAACAAAAACGTATAGTTAAAAAAAATGCAGAAAAAAAATTAATAAATATTTCAGATGGACAGCCATGGTGGGTCAATTAGATATTTTTGAGTACTGGAAGATTTCCAAGACACATATTTGAAGGAAACTACTGAAAATACCAGGATATTTTTCATGTTTAAATAAAGAACCTAAATATCCTTTAATGTTAAAACTTACCTACAATCACAGGCTCTCTAGCGTGGCCAGTCAAATGCTTCTCAAATAGAAGCATTTAATTGGATTATTCTCAACAGTGTGGGAGAGGGAATGTGAGTATATGGTCATGACTGGATACTATTTAATATATATATATATAAAAGAAAACTATCTTTACAACATAGAGAGGCGGGGAGGACTGGGAGGGACTGAAAGGAGGGGGGAGGGGGCAGGGAAGAGTAAACTACCTCTTGCAGGCATTCTGCCTGCAATGGGAGAATCTCACCATGTCTGTTGCCAGCATTCACTGCATGCTGATGACAGACGCGAATTGTGCTCAGAATAGACATTCGCAGATTGGAACAGTTTAGTCACACCTCCCTGCATGTGACTTGCTCAGCCTTCCTAAATACTTCCAGAAAAGGAACATAAATATTCTAAAGGTTCCTTTATGGCACATTCTGCTTTAAATTTAGAATTTCACATTTAGCATTTCTAAGCTCCTGTTTTATTAATTGCATTCTAGACCCAGCAGGAGCCACCTGTATGTTACATTTACAGAGCAAGAGATAAAAATGTAAAAAGCAAGTTAACATCTGATTGAGCATGAAACCCTTTTTTTCGTGCAGGCTGTGTGAGTCACAAGCAGGGGGCGTGTGGTTAGAACTGCATACAGATAAATAAAAGTGATTTAACTGCTAAATGGCAGAGAATTAAGCAGTGAGACTGCAGTGGCATGATTTATACACAAACTGCTTTATTAGCATAACGTTGTTTAGATGCCTATAATGTCCCTTTAAGATTTATAATACACTGCGACAGAAGCTGCAAGCACAAACAGCGTGCCCAACATGGGGGAAACAGCATACAACAAAATTCGTCTAGAGGAGAAGTCCGGCATATTACTTCGGCTTGATAGTCTCTTCGAAGCATTTTGGCAGACACAACAGCACAGATACTTCCTACCTGACATGCAAGCTCACCCACAGTGATTGACTGTGCAACTAATCCGGGGCCCTTGTGACCAAGGCCCTATGGCAGCCCACGTCAGGTGGCGTAGACCGCACTGCCAACGCCAGGGAAAAGCAGCACCCGGACTGAAGCGTGGCACCATCAAGTCAAGATGGAGCTCCTCCAGATGGGCTGTGGCACAGAGCAGAACGCGGCATACTGTTCATAACCTTTCATCAGGATACCACCTTGCCAGCTTTCCTAATACGCGATCCCTGACCGGCACCATAGTGTGGGACTGTGACCTGCCATCAGTGGGCATAGGCTGAGAGATGCTCAGTAGGCCTCAATTCATCCTTTTTATGGACTTCCACACCACATATAGTACATTAACATGTGTTTTTCTCTAAGTTTCTACTCTCGCAGAGCTTTCTTGTTCTAACTTATTTTATTTTACAAAGCTTGTTATACAGCCCTTATTTCAATTGTCAGAACCAGATTTCAATTGTCCTTTAACAGTTGCCAGCAGTGACTGGTTGAACAAATATTCTTGTTATGCAAGCAGATTAATAAACTGATGTGTAATAACTGTCTGTAGATATGATCTCATTGCCAAAGCTTGTTCTAAGATCACTAAAGAGATAAACTTTATCAAGATTATAGTTTAATAATAATAATTATTATTTAACAAGGAAGAATACAACTTTCACAAGTTTTCAAGTATCTCCTGATGTCTAGACATTACTAATTTGCTCAGTGTTTCTAGTTTAAGAAACCTCAGAAAGTTTAAAGTCTGAGTTGGCCTTGCCAAATGTAAAACCTGTAAGGTTTACCACTGAGCTATCTCACATCTTATAAACCAAATATTTATTTTGTCCTCTTTTCCTGTAGAACAGCATAGTATACAGATATTAAGTGGAGAGTGATTGACTGTGGGACGGATTGTCAGCTGCTCAGCTCATATTGAGTTCTCATTGGCTGATCTACATTTGGTACCTTTCAATCTGGAAGACATTTTGTGAAAATGGAAACATGGTTAAGTCGTGCTTCAGAAACCACAAACCTTTTGTTTTTCTTTTTGTTTTTAAAAAAACACTAAAGAGATTTAAACTCGGAGAGAATACAGATTAAATACAAGATAGCAATCTTCCAAATGTTCTTTAAGGGACACTCTGGGCAAAATAATCACCTCATCCTATCAAAGTGGTTATAGCATAGAAACATAGAAACATAGAATGTGACGGCAGATAAGAACCATTCGGCCCATCTAGTCTGCCCAATTTTCTAAATACTTTCATTAGTCCCTGGCCTTATCTTATAGTTAGGATAGCCTTATGCCTATCCCACGCATGCTTAAACTCCCTCACTCATCATGGACTCTAGTCACTATAACTACTTAAACATACATGACCGTTTATTGTGTCTAAAGTTTCCATTTAAGTTATGTTGGTGCCAAAAAAGTGGCTTGTCCTGTGGAAAGAGAGTCCTAAATGTGTCTATATTATCTATTTTGTACCTTTCTGAAAATGTGTGTATGGCAAGAAAGCTTCTGAATGTTTTAATAAACATTGTGAAAACATCTCCAGTAGTTACATTCTGTTAAATGACCAGTTAAGGTTTCCGGTAAATGTAAAAAATATTGTATATCAAGTTTGTTTACAGAATATATATTGTTCTTCACAGGATGTGGATACCTGCAGTTTGGATCGTACAGAGCTGGAATACAAACTAAAGGAGCTGAAAGGGATGATAGAACTGATGAGAAACATATACGAACAGGTGGATAAAATTTACTTTTGCCAAATTATCTTACAGGGACGTTTCAAATACTATAACAACTGCATCTTATTGTTGATGTTTTGCTTCCTCATTATCATTCCAAAATACATGTATGGCTCATTAGAAGATCCCTAGCAAACAGGAGTGTTGAATGCTGGGGAATTCTCTGTTTTTGTTGTTGTTTTTTTTTTTTTTTTTTCAACAAATCCCTTGATAACAGTTTGTCATTTGCAATTGAAAATCATTGAAAATCAGGTTTATTGTCAAAATTTACAGACTTTCACATGTTTGCAATGAACAAATCAAACAAAGGCAATTTAAATAGCAACACAGTGAATGCTTCAAGTGGTTTCCCCAAATTCAACTGAAAATGCAATGACATCTCCGGTTTCAAAATTAATCAACCCCCTGGAGAGAATCCCTTACAACAGCACAAATATGCAAAACAGGTGTTGTCTCAAACACACCTGATGCAAGTAATCAAGGGCTTCATTAGTTACACCAAGTGTGCTTGAGCTGTAACACCTAAAATACCATGAATTGGGTAAGGGTTTGTTAAGTGTTATGTTTGACTGCATGTTAGAAACAGGTCCACATAGTTAAGAAAAAAGCTCACTGCCCTTCCCAAACAAGAAACAATATACAAAAAAGATAGTGATGGCCCTGAATGTTCCTAGAGACCAGGGGAGGGCTGGCAGCCTTAGGCCTGGGGGGCAAAACCAGTCAAATGGCCCATTGCACCACCAAATCAGTTCACCATCCATGCCCACCTTTTCCTGGTTTTATAACAGATATTGATGTTATGCTAATCAGTAGCTCTTTGTCATACCTGCTCCTTCACAGTTCTGACTTTCAGTGTTGTTAGAGCGCAGGCTGAGAATCTCTGAGCCTGTGCTCTGACTCACTAACTGAGCGTCGGAACCACGAGGGAGAGAATATAATCTGACTGCACCTACTGCTGGTGCGCACCAGTGGACCACCAGAGAATCGTTTAAATTGAATATGCTGGTGTCCCCAACTTGTGAGCTGTGTTGGCTGCCGGGCGCCTCTGTTGTCATGGCAACCTGCGTGACCGCACAGCATGCACAGCCCAACGGCTGGCCCTGCTGACACACACTGATGTTACTACTTAGAAATCCCTCAATATTAATACCAACATCAGAGTAAACACCAATAAACTGTGGAAACAGAGCTGATCCCCCAAATTTATAAAGATTTGCTTAGTGGATTTGTTGTAAGATTAAATCATGCCTCCTCCTCTCTCTCTCCCATGCGCTGCTCTGTAGGCTGCGAGGAAGTGAAGAGTAATCACATTCTCCCAGCACAGCGCCACCTGTGGCTGCATGGGGAACAGCTGGTTAATGTAATGCTTGCAGGAGGGCACTTGCACTGCGGTAAAGACAGGTCTGGGCAGGAGGAGAGTTCAGTGCAATCAGTGCACTCCCCTCCTGTGGGTCACCAGTAGACTGGTGCACCTGCCCAGGATCAGAGCCGGTGCAAGGATTTTTGCTGCCCTAGGCAAAAGAAAAATTTGCTGCCCCCCCATGTGACATCATAATGCCCCACCTATATGATCTGCCATATGAACTAATGCCAATGCTGCACACACTGTGTGTTTACATTAAAAAGCCTGCAGGGACCGGCTATAGACACCAGAACCACTTCATTAAGCTGAAGTGGTTCTGGGGACTATAGTGTTCCTTTAATGTGAGGTAAATTATAGATTAGTGTCACTAATAATATACTAGATTGCCTACTTAAAACCAAATGAGGATGATGATGGGCTGCAGTTTGGCTCCACTGGTCTGGTGTAGAACAGGATCTCTGTTTGTAATTGTGGTCACAAAATTCAAGGTTCTAGTAGAATGGGAAGCAGCTCCATTTTTTGGGGGCCTCTTAAACAGCTCAAGGTCTGGGTCCCAGGGCCTGACGGGGAGTATGCCCATAAGGCCCACCTAAAAGTCCACCTACATGTTCCATCCATGAGTTCGCTCACAGGGAATGGAGTGTGTAGGGGATGTGTTTTTGTAGAGGATCTAATGTGTGTGCTTATGGTATGTAGTGTATAGGGATACCAGTTTGTGTAGGTGATGCAGTGTATTTGTTTGTAGTGGAAGCAGTGTGTGTTTGTGTATAAGCGATGTATTGTGTAAATCTGTGTTTGTATGCATAAGGGATTCAAGGTGTGTGACTGTAAGTGTGTGCATTGAGTGTGTGTATGAAATGCATTGTGTTTCTGTGTATATGTAAGAGAAGCAGTGTGTGTGTTTGCATGTGTGTGTAAGGGTTTGCATTGTGTGTTTCTGTGTATGTGTGCAAAGGATGCATTGTCTTTGTGTGTAATGGATGCATTGTGTGTTTCTCTGTGTGTAAGGGAAGCATGTTGTGTTTCTGTGTGTGTAGGGATGCATTGTGTGTTTGTGTATGTATAGGGATGCATTGTGTGTGTGTGCGCGTAGTGTGAAAGAGCTCCCTGTCCTGCCCCCTGTCCTATAGAGCTCTCCCCTGCCCCTTAGTGGTCTCTCCACCCCCACCCTAGCAGTCACTTCTCACACCCACCCACCCTGTTCTCTTCTCATCCCCCCCCCCAAACTTCCGGTCAGCCCCCTCCCTCCCTGTGTTCTTTCCCCTCCCAATGTGTTCTCCTCACCTCCCCCCATGTGTTCTACTCACTCCCTCCACCCTCCCTGTGTTCTTCTCACGCCCCCACCCACTTCCTGGTTGGCCTGCTCCCACTCCCAATGTGTTCTCCTCACTATGTGTTCTACTCCGCCCCCACCACTCCTGTGTTCTTCTCACTCCCCTCCCAGTGTGTTCTCCTCCTGCCTCCCCCATGTGTGTTCTACTCCTCCCTCCACCCTCCTGTGTTCTTCTCCGCCCCCACCCTCCCTTGTTCTTCTCACCTCCCCCCTCCTCCCTGTGTTCTTCTCACCTCCCCTCCTTGTGTTCTCCTCATCTCCCCCTTCTCCCCCTCCTCCTGTGTCCTTCTTACTCTTCCCCTCCTCTCTGTATTCTTCTTACCCGTGTTCTTCTTACTCCCCCTGTTCTTCTTAACCCCCATTCTTCTTAATTCCCCCTTCTTCTTAATCCCCCCCACCCCTCCCCTTCTTCTTAATCCCACCTACTTAATTTTGCTTCTTCTTAATTCCCCTCCTTTGTGAATTCTCCCCATCACCCCATCTTCTTAATCCCCACTCTTCTTGTGAAATCCCTCACCTTCCCTCCCCTCCCCTGTAGCGTGGCCGAGCTGCTCTGCTGTCCGCGGTGCCGGCCGGACTGACAGGAAGGAGTGTGCACTTCCTGTCAGTCCGGCCGGTGACAGGAAACAGAAACTCCTGTTCCGCGCGGGGTTTCTGTTTCCTGTAACCGGCCAGACTGACAGGAAGTGCACACTGAGTGTGCACCTTCCTATCACTCGACATTTATGGACTGGAAGGGAGCCTAAATAATCAGGGAGAAGGAGGGAAAGATGTGCTGCAGCATTAGGACCGGCCCTACAGCGGCCGGTCCTAAAATGATTTGAGGCGGCCTGGGGGGCAATTGCCTCCCTGCCCCCCAGCCCAGCCCGCCCCTGCTAGAGACACTGTTGGAAACATAGTTTGCAAGTTCATAGTTGCCAGAACAGTAGTTACACTACCTGGACAGGGGCCAGGGCATAAAATGAAAGCTATCAATGGCTGCAACCAGATTTCTGAAAAGGCAGGTTGTGAAAAATCATTGAGTGACTTGCAAAAGACCTGCAACAAGACTTGGTGGCAACAGGCACTGACGTTTCAGTGAGCACAGTAATGCGCATACTAAATGGAGAACATTTCCATGCCAGAACTCTAAGACGTACACCACTACTGACCCAAAAGCAGAAGAAAAGTTGGTTCCAATATGCTCAAGATCCAATAAATAAGCCACAGAGGTTTTGTGATTCTGTCCTGTGGAGCAATGAAACAAAACTGAAGCTTTTCCGCCCAATGGATCAGTGGCATGTCTAGAAGACGAAGAATGAAACATATGCTGAAAAGAACACCCTGCCTACAGTTAACTAGGTGGTATCTTGGTGATGCTCTGAGGCTGCTTTGCATCCTCTGGCACTGGAAACCTGCAGTGTGTGGAAGGCAAGATGGATTAATTGAAGTATCAGGAAATCCTAGGAGAAAATGTCATGCCGTCTGTGAGGAAGCTGAAGCTTGAACATCATTGGACCTTCCAGCAAGACAATGATCCAAAAAAATCACTAAGTCTTGGCTGAAGAGGAAGTCCTGGAAAATTCTACAGTGGCCATCACAGTCACCTGACTTGGACCACATGAAAATATCTGTGGTAGAATTTGAAGAAGATGGTTGAGGCACACAAACCCAAGAATATTACTGAACTAGAGGCCATTGCTCATGGGCTTAGATTCCTCAGGAATGCTGTCAGAAGCTGGCGTCTGGCTATGCAGCTCATTAGCAGCAGGTCATAACAGCACAGGGTTGCTCTACTAAGTACTAAAGATGCTTCCCATGAAGGGGTTGAATAATTTTGAGACTGGGGAAGTTATTATAAATTGCATATCAACTTGAATATTGGGAAACCACTTGAAGCATTTGTTATATTGAGCTATTTCACTTGCTTTTGTGGGATTTGTTCATTGCAAACAGCTAAAAGTCTGCACATTTTGACAATAAACCTAATTTTCAATGGGGGTTGAATAATTTTGATTACAACTGTAGGACACTCAAAATGTTTGTTTGGTTATTGATATAATAATTTGCCCAGTTTATTTACAGCACTTGAAAAAGATTAGCGATTATATATTATTCGCTAGCAAAGATCAGGATGTTGGGCACATTGGTTGGAAGGAGGGGGAAAAGAAGAAGTAGTGTCAGACATTTTGGACTAAACTGCCTTAGTGAGAGGGGACAATGGGGTGAAGTAAGCTGTTTGTGAACAGGAAAGTCTTCCCAACTTAGCTATAAGGAAGGTGGTTGATTTAAAGGAATCCTATAGGCACCAAAACAACTTTAACTTAATGAAGCAGGTTTGGTGTATAGATCAAGACCCTGCAATCTTACTACTCAATTATCTGTAATTTAGGAGTTAAATCACTTTCTTTATACAGTCCAAGTCACACCTCCCTGCACACAGCAATTTTTGCATTTTGAAAAGTCAGTTTCAGCAACTATTTGTAGCAATGACCATGGATAATATTTAAAGGACTCCATAGCCAAGCTTGGTGAAATGATCTACAGTGAGGGAAAAAGTAATTGATCCCCTGCTGATTTTGAACGTTTGTCCACTGACCATGAAATGATCAGTCTATAATTTTAATTGTAGGAGTATTTTAACAGTGAAAGACAGAAAAAAAAAATCCAGAAAAACACTTTTCAAAAAAGTTATAAATTGATTTGCAAGTCAATGAGTAAAATAAGTATTTGATCCCCTATCAATCAGCAAGATGTCTGGCTCCCAGGTGTCTTTCATACAGGTAACAAGCTGAGATTAGGAGCACTCTCTTAAACGGAGTGCTCCTAATCTCAGCTTGTTACCTGTATAAAAGACACCTGTCCACAGAAGCAATCAATCAGATTCCAAACTCTCCACCATGACCAAAGATGCCAGGGACAAGATTGTAGATCTATAGCATACCAAGGCTGGACTGGGCTACATGACCATCACCAAGCAGCTTGGTGAGATTGTTCGCAAATGGAAGAAACATAAAATAGCTGTCAGTCTCCCTCATTCTGGTGCTCCACACAAGATCGCACCTCGTGGAGTTTCAATGATCATGAGAACAGTGAGGAATCAGCCCAGAACTACATGGGAGGATCTTGTTAATGATATCAAGGCAGCTGGGACCATAGTTACCAAGAAAACAATTGGTAACACACTACGCCATGAAGGACTGAAATCCTGCATCGTCCGCAAGGTTCCCCTGCTCAAGAAAGCACATGTACAGGCCCATCTGAAGTTTGCCAATAACATCTGAATGATTTAGAGGAGAACTGAGTGAAAGTGTTGTGGTCAGATGAGACCAAAATTGAGCTCTTTGGCATCAACTTAACTCGCCGTGTTTGGAGGAGGAGCGATGCTGCCTTTGACTCCAAGAACACCATCCCTACCGTCAAACATGAAGGTAGAACCATTATGCTTTGGGGGTGTTTTTCTGCTAAGGACAACTGCACCGCATCAAAGGGACGATGGATGGGGCCATGTACCGTCAAATCTTCTTTTTCAAATAATTTATTAGAGTTTATAACAATACATCAAAATAATACAGGAAAATAACACAGAGGGAAAAAAATTATAATAATAAATAAATAAGATAAATCAATGTATGCATATTTCAATTAGATATCAAGATTAAATATCAAGATTAGATATTAGAGATGATTATTATAGATTAGAGATTAAGATTAGAGGTCAAGTCCTGGGTCTTTCTGATTTAACTGAATATGGTTATTATAAGCCAAATTTAACTTACTTCCAGATGCCTTAAATGTTACTGTTACTGGTAATACTAATACCTGCCTCTATGTCATTATCCAAGTTTATTCTTAATTTTATTCTCAGCCAGCCATCCTCTTCTCTTACCCTTTCCTCTAATATAGAACCCCAGATTTTCCAGAACTTTGTCAAAGAATTAGTAGACAAATATGCCATATATTCCATTTGATAAATATTATAAAGCATTTTTAATAAACCTTGTATTGAAGGAACTTTCATGCTCTTCCAGTTTTTAGCAATAAAAGTCTTAATAGTTATAAAGAAGAAAGATATCAATCTTTTAGATGGCAAATGAATTATTATTGGATGGTTATTTAATTATGCTACCTCTAAAGAGAAGAAAATATGGACCTGAAGATTACATTGATAAGATCATATAATTTATTCCACCCCCTATAAATGTGTTGGCAATCCCACCAGATATGTGATAGTGAGCCAATCTCCCCACATTCTCGTCAACAACGATTAGAGACACTTGGGTACATATGCTGCAATCGGACGGGGGTTAAGTACCATCTAGTAAGCGATTTGTATGATAAGCAATAGAAGAAATTACTAATATCCCCTGTATGAGAAATATTCCCAACAGAGGTGGTCAGTATGAGTGGTACCCACCTACTCTGGGCATGAACCCTAGTAACATAGCATAGAGTAAAGAAAATAAGGAATTTTCATCTCAGAGCAATTCCTCTTGGGTACTAATAAGTAGATAGGCTGATAAAAGGTGAGTGCAACATATAACACTTAAAGGACCACTATAGTGCCAGGAAAACATATTCGTTTTCCTGGCACTATAGTGCCCTGAGGGTGCCCCCACCCTCAGGGTCCCCCTCCCGCCCGGCTCTGGAAAGGGGAAAGGGTTAAAAACTTACCTTTTTCCAGCGCTGGGCGGGGAGCTCTCTGCTTCCTCTCCTCATCTTCTCCTCCTCCTGGACTGAATGCGCACGCGCGGCAAGAGCTGCGCGCGCATTCAGCCCGTCGCATAGGAAAGCATTTACAATGCTTTCCTATGGACGCTTGCGTGCTCTCACTGTGAAAATCACAGTGAGAAGCACGCAAGCGCCTCTAGTGGCTGTCAATGAGACAGCCACTAGAGGGAATAGGGGAAGGCTTAACCCATTCATAAACATAGCAGTTTCTCTGAAACTGCTATGTTTATGAAAAAATGGGTTAACCCTAGCTGGACCTGGCACCCAGACCACTTCATTAAGCTGAAGTGGTCTGGGTGCCTAGAGTGGTCCTTTAACGAGGAAGTGAACACTGAATAGTGGAGGATAGGTGTATAAATTATCCATTTGGTAAACCAGCAGGCTTTATTTGTGTTAGAAACATCTGGTCTGCTCAATTTTCTAAATACTTTCATTAGTCCCTGGCCTTATCTTAGAGTTAGGATAGCCTTATGCCTATCCCACGCATGCTTAAACTCCTTTACTGTGTTAACCTCTACCACTTCAGCTGGAAGGCTATTCCATGCATCCACTACCCTCTCAGTAAAGTAATACTTCCTGATATTATTTTTAAACCCTTGTCCCTCTAATTTAAGGCTATGTCCTCTTGTTGTGGTAGTTTTTCTTCTTTTAAATATAGTCTCCTCCTTTACTGTGTTGATTCCCTTTATATATTTAAATGTTTCTATCATATCCCCCCTGTCTCGCCTTTCCTCCAAGCTATACATGTTAAGATCCTTTAACCTTTCCTGGTAAGTTTTATCTTGCAATCCATGAACCAGTTTAGTAGCCCTTCTCTGAACTCTCTCTAAGGTATCAATATCCTTCTGAAGATACGGTCTCCAGTACTGTGTACAATACTCCAAGTGAGGTCTCACCGGTGTTCTGTACAATGGCATGAGCACTTCCCTCTTTCTACTGCTAATGCCTCTCCCTATACAACCAAGCATTCTGCTAGCATTTCCTGCTGCTCTATTACATTGTCTGCCTACCTTTAAGTCATCATAAATAATCACCCCTAAATCCCTTTCCTCAGATGTTGAGGTTAGGACTCTATCAAATATTCTGTACTCTGCCCTTGGGTATGCATTTAAATGTTTCTATCATATCCCCCATCTCATCTTTCCATCAAGCTATACATGTTAAAATCCTTTAACCTTTCCAGTGGCAGGTGATGTGAAAAAAAGTATCCCAATTTGTATGATATTTCTATATGGTTTGTACATCTTGAGATTTTTGCGGTAAATGTTAACAGGGATGTCCAATCTTCATTAGAAATTGAACGGCCTAACTCCTTTTCCCATCCTGATTTAACAGAAATGTTCTCTAAATATATATTGAGGATATTAGGGATTGGTAACATACCGAAAGGGATTTATGCCCTTCAGCTGCATTTTTTAATAAATTAGAAAAAAAACAGCATCTGCCGCTGATCCTCTAGATAGCATTAAAGACGCCAGACAATGCCGAATCCTAAAATATTTATAAAAAAATCACGGTGTGGAATATTATATTGTAACTGTATAGAAGTAAAATGTACCGTCAAATCTTGGGTGAGAAACTCCTTCCCTGAGCCAGGACATTGAAAATGGGTCATGGATGCATATTCCAGCATGACAATGATCCAAAATACACAGCCAAGGTAACAAAGGAGTGGCTCAAGAAGAAGCACATTAAGGTCCTGGAGTGCCCTAGCCATTCTCCAGACCTTAATCCCATAGAAAATCTGTGGAGGGAGCTGAAGGTTCGAGTTGCCACACGTCAGCCTCAAAACCTTAATGACTTGGAGAAGATCTGCAAAGAGGAGTGGGACAAAATCCCTCCTGAAATGTGTGCAAACCTGGTGGCCAACTACAAGAAATGTCTGACCTCTGTGATTACCAAGAAGGGTTTTGCCACCAAGTACTAAGTCAAAGGGGTCAAATACTTCACTCATAATTTCACTCATTAACATGCAAATCAATTTATAACTCTTTTGAAATGCATTTTTCTGGATTTTTTTTGTTTTGTTATTTTGTCTCTCACTGTTAAAATACACCTACCATTAAAATTATGGACTGATCATTTCTTTGTCAGTGGGCAAACGTTCAAAATCGTCAGGGGATCAAATACTTTTTTTCCTCACTTTATATAATTCCTGAATTAGTCCATGAAGGAAATGGAAAGACGTATATAAATGCACACTTTTTCCTTTATCTGTCAATGTCCATGTCTCTGTCAATAGCAGTTGACCTTCAGGTTTGCTTTTGCCTATCACATGTATGCCAATGTCTCAGTTCCTGAATGTTTATACATAGGAATTACAATTTAGTCAGAATACAGGATTAGTATTGATTGATATTTGCTTCCCATTTTTCTTTTTAATAATTCCAGACATCCGTATTGGTGTTGGGTTGCACACTATGTTATATTGTACTGATGATGATGTCTGAAGTTCTTCTTAATAGGATGTTTATTGACTGGAGCTCAGTAATTTGTGTCCATATGAAAAGTCAGGATCATCTCTGTCTTTCCATAGAAAGGACACAAATTAAATAAGCACAACGGGGCATTTCCTCAGATGGAATTCAGTTCAAATATAGAATTTTAATTCACCAAAAACTGTACTTTGCAGTAGTATTCACGTTCAAATAGAACATTGTTATTTCCATTGTATTTTCAGGAACTGAAATCAGTGATGGAAGAGACTGGGGACTTATCAGTGGTATTGAACATGGACAGTCGTTGTTACTTGAACCTGGAGGACATTGTGAAAGAGGTTAAAGAACGATATGAAAACATTGCAGCCCGCAGTCGAGAAGAGGCTCAAGCATTGTCTAAGAGGAAGGTACACATGCAATTCAAAATGTAATTTGGTACTGTGTAAATAGATTGATTCTTAAAGACTTAAACATTTATAAAATATAAAGAAATATATAAATACATTTTTGTGTAGACTTATTAGAGTATCAAAATGCCTTTCATTCTACTCATAACATTTTGAACGAACGTTCAGAAAATTATCTTCTCAAAGGTTTTATAAGGTACTAGACTTATTCATAGTCCAAAAAATTATATGGTTTTGTTTGTTTGAAATGTACAATCGATTCACCAAACTGAATTTCATCAATGCAATTTGGTTTGTCATCTTTAAAACAATTACACAATTCATACCAGAGACATACCAAGCTTTGTAAACTTTCTGTATAGTTCCACACCCCCGTGTTATCTTAACCCATGTTACTTCTTGTGTATCTCTCACCTGCTTATCTTTTAGGTATCTCTTAACCTTTTGTACCTCTTTACCCTCTTACCATTTTTTGCCCCCACAAGCATTCAAAGGCACATGGATACTGATATATATACATAGACATGCAATCACATACAAACATGGACACATGTATAGTCACATGCATAGACACACAAACGCACAGACACACAATCCTATACCATGACATTCTCAACATTATCACACATTTACACACACGGTCATGTGCATACCAAGTTTATTCAGTGAACTATGAATTGTAATGGTCTGGTGAATAAAAGTTCAGACTTCCATTCCATTTTGCAATTTGGATTTCAAAAATGAAATTAATCACACTTCTGAATTTGCAGCTTAGGGAGTTAACCCCAAACCCCCTAAGGTTTAGTGTATTTCTTAAAGTGAAATATATTTGCTTGCTTGCAATGCCTCCCCCGGGGGCTCTTGTTGTAAATCCTATTTCTGCAGCTCCAGCCTAGCCTCCTGTTCCAGGCTCCTTCCCGCTCCCCTTTTGCCTCTACATCTTATCTCCAGGCTCCAGTAACACCATGGCCACCACTTAGTATCCAGTTGATCTAATACTACAGCTCCCAAACTCCTTGCAAACCTTAAGGCACTGTGGTGCTTTTATAAGCCCTACAAGTGTTTGCATGGTTCAGAGAGTGTGTCTGCATGGCTCAGTGTGTCTACATATGTAATTGTGTCTTTGCATTGGTCAGTAAATGTGTGTGTGTGTGTGTGTGTGTGTGTCTGCATGGGCCAATGTGCTTGTTTGCATGGGCTAGACTGTGTTTTTGGCATGAGTCATGCCAAAAGCTTCCTGATTGGACATTCAGAGGCAATGCAATGCAATAAGGTACTGGGCTTTCAGACCTTGGGGTTAAACTGTTAGTTAAATGTTTAACCCCTTAAAATAAGACTGGGCCCAGGACCTTCATGCTTCATAACAACTTTTCTGGTCACTATAGTGCCAGGAAAACAAACTTGATCAAACAGCATCGCAGAAGCGCTTCTAGCGGCTGTCAGGAAGAAAGCCACTAGAGGCTGGATTAACCCTGCAATGTAAACACAGCAGTATCTCTGAAACTGCTATGTTTACATCTGAAATATTAAAACCTAGGGGACCTGGCACCCAGACCACTTCATTGAGCTGAAGTGGCCTGGGTGACAATAGTGTCCCTTTAATTACAATTAAGTTATTATGGTGCCAGATTGGACCTTTAAAAAAGATCTAAAAGTGACACCTCCTCATTACTTCACACTACTAGAGGATATTGAAGCCCTTACTGGGGTGAGTAGTGTAGTGTAGATACGGTAACCCCTTAAGGACCAAACCTCTGGAATAAAAAGTAATCATGACATGTCACACATGTCGTGTCCTTAAGGGGTTAAACAACGCAATTCTCCACAGCCTTCTATGTTCAATAGGTTGTCATTACCTGTATAATTCTCATGTGACAGATCATTAAATGGGGATCTTTCATTTATCTGAACTGCACAGTTGGAACATAATTCTCTGAGAGCTGGACGTTGTGAGGCAGAACTGGAGAGCAGTCGCAGCCACATTACTCAGCTTAACGGCAAGATTCAGCGAATAAGGTCAGAGATTCTCACCACTCAGACTCAGGTGAGTGGTCTTGTCTGTTATAGTTATGCTTTTGAAATGTATCCAGGTAGTAATACATTAAATACTGTGAATGAATCAGAACCAAAATAGTGACCTGTGTACTATCCCTGAGTCCTAATCCTTATGATTATTTACATAACACAGTAGCACTATGCACCACTTGATATCCCTGCAATTAAAGTGTAAGCTCACCTACCAAATTCAAAACAAACCTCTTGATAACAGTTCACCTGTTGCTTTCAGGCAAACTCTCTAGTTAGACAAGGATATTCCTATAAAGTAATTAACCCTTAATAGGGCACACATGAGGTGGGCAACTATACTTTAACAAGGTCGTGGAATAAAAAAATCAAATAAAACACAGAAATTAGTCTTGCCACAACTTGTACAGGATCAATTTCTATAATATTCATAAATGTATACACAAAACCAGAAATGTTACATGCTGTTGTTTTCGGTTTTATAGTTGCATTGTTTTTTAGTATTCCTTATGTTGTTTTCTTCACACTTGTATAACCAAATTAATGCCTCCGAGGAGGAGAATACTTTAGGTATTGATCACCCATATTATATGGTAGTAGCAAGGACCAAATGGCATGGCCTGTGCAGGTTTTACTTACTTCAATTTTCTCGTTATTTGAAAATGTGCACTTGGAGCTTGATTGGAGCTTGTATGGTGGAACTCCCCTTACTTACAGACTAGAGTCACTAGACTGTGAGCTACCGTGAGCTGGACCCTCAATTACTCCTTCCTCATTTGTATTACCTTATATATGTGTTCATTGTGCACCATTTAACTAATGCCCACTTTACAAATAAACTATACCAGGGGTGCCCAAAATCTAGATCCCCAGATGTTGCAGAACCACAACTCCCATGATGCTTTGCATGCCTTTATAATGACAAAGCATCATGGAAGTTGTAGTTTTAAAAACATCTGGGGATCTAAGTTTTAAAAATATTATTGTATGCAATCCCATTAATCAATGCAGTGTTGTAAGTGTCCACTTGGTCGAGTGCAAGGCAGTACACCGAAGCTCCTCATAGTTATTTAAATAGATGTTATAACCTCTCATTTAACATGTCATTCTAAGCACCATAACAACTGTGCATTATTGAGAACTTTTTTTTCCTCTTCCCAGAATGACTAATAACTGCAGGGATTTGTAAATACTGCTGCAGCGATAAGACTGCCCCATGGTGCGGTGATGTCAAAGAGGGAGTTTATTTTGTCCTTTGCTATCTAAACTCCAACTTGTAGCTATAGTATATGCATCTGAGCGACTAGGCTTTGGTTGCACATATGCGTGGTCTATAGCTCGCTGTAAATAGCTCAGTTCTCAATGTTAGAGGCTGTAGCTTTGGGGTGGTTGCTTTAGTCAATTATTATTTTGAATGCCTTTTCTGTGCTATCTATACATGTACTAAACCTGTTTTGTCTCTGCTCTGTTTGATAAATCAGTGTGTACATCTGGAGCGAGAAGTGTCAGAGAGTAAGGCCAAGAGTGATATTACCCTCAAAGATGCCAAAATGAAACTGGAAGAGATAAATGATGCTCTGCAGAAAGCCAAGCAGGACATGGCTCGCCAACTGCGAGAATACCAGGAGCTGATGAATGTGAAACTGGCTCTGGATATTGAGATTGCCACCTACAGGAAACTGCTTGAAGGGGAGGAGAGCAGGTAAGACAAACATTAAATGGGATAGATGTAAATCAGTCAGAAAGCAAGTGTACAGTGCTTTCTAAAAGCCTCCAGGCTGTCATTCAATATTCATTGCATGACAGAAGGTATATTGAAATTACACGCTGTATTGTATATCTTTTTACATTCTGAAATTCATGATAATGTCTTAATTTTACATAGTGATGAAGTTCGGCATTGACATGTCTGTATTACTGCTATTGATCCAAAAGAAGGGGGGTGGAAATGAAATTGAAGCAACTTGCAATTTCATCCCAAAACGGGATACAAAATCATTCTTGAAAAAGGTCAGAAGGAATTGATCTAGCTGCAAAAAGATCTGTATGACAGTCTTATCTAGATCAGCATTGTGCAAAATCTTACAAGTTACACACTCCATCCACAAGTGCCTCTAAGTCAGCATTGGTAAACTCTCCCTTTCTTTTTGTGGTTTTACCAATAATGAGACTGATTTTCTGCAGCTTTGAGATGTGAGTCTGTCATGGAATGGATGGGAAATTACATACAATAGGTGATAGGTGTGCTTTTGGTCATGCTCATGTAAAAGTTGTGGAGTCACTTTCCAGAATTGTTATTACTATGTTTACCTATCCCTATATTTAACAAATATGTAGAATTTTTATTGATTGTAGAAATCTATACCCAGGGGCGTACCTAGAGCATTTGGCACCTGGGGCGGATCCTGTGCTTGGCACCCCCTTGCCCCCCCAAAGCCCCGCCCCCAGTGCCAGTTTGGCCCCGCCTCCGATTTTATTTAGCTCCGCCCACTTTCCCTCCGTGCAGCCTTTCTACCATGGGGCACTGTGCGGCCACAGCTCACACAGCCCCATCCAGCCAGGGCCAGTGCAATAATTTTTGCCGCCCTAGGCAAAAGTAAAGTTTGCTGCCCCCCCATGTGACATCACAATGCCCCACCCATATGATCTGCCATGTTATCTAACGCCAGTGCTGCAGTGCTGCCGTGTTTACATTAAAAGGCCTGCAGGGACAGGCTATAGACACCAGAACCACTACATTAAGCTGCAGTGGTTCTGGGGACTATAGTGTTTCTTTAATGTGAGGTAAATTAGAGATTCGTGCCACGAAGTAATATGCTAGATTGCCTACTTACAACCAGATGAGGATGATGATGGGCTCTAGCTGCAGTCTGGCTCCACTGGTCTGGTGTAGAACAGGCTCTCTGGAGGCGGTTTGTAACTGTGGTCACAAAAATCAATGTTCTGGGAGAACGGGAAGCAGCTCCATTTTTTTGGGGCCCTTTACACAGCTCAAGGTCTGGGTCCCAGGGTCCACCTTCATGTTCCACCAATGAGTTTGTTCACAGGGGGTGGAGTGTGTAGGGGGTGTCCTGATATGTGTGTAAGGAATGCATTGTGTGAATCTGTGTTTTTATGTGTAAGGGCTGCAAGGTGTGTTTCTGTGTATATACGAGATGCATTGAGAGTGTGTAATGAATGCATTGTGTGTTTCTGTGTGTGTAAGGGATGCATTGTGTGTAACAGTTGCATTGCTTGTGTATGTGTGTCTGTGTGTGTAATGCAGTGTGTGTAATGCATTTTGTGTTTTTCTGTGTGCAAGGGGTGCATTGTGTGTGATGAATGTCAATCTCTCCCCCCCCTTCAATTTCCATCTCTCCCCCCCTCCAATTTCTTTCTTTATCCCCCTCCCAATTTCTATCTTTTTCCTCTCTCCAATTTCCTTCTCCTCCTCCCAATTTCTTTCTTTATCCCCCCTCTCCGATTTCCTTCTCCCCCCTCCCAATTTCTTTCTTTATTCCCCCTCCCAATCTTTCTTTATCCCCTCTCAATTTCCTTCTCCCCATCCCAATCTTTTATTTATCCCCCCTCCCAATTTTCTTCTTTCCCCTTCCCAATCTTTGTTATCTCCCCCTCCCAATTTCCTTATCCCCCATTCCCAATCTTTGTTATCCCCCCTCCCAATTTCCTTATCCCCCATTCCCAATCTATCCCCCTATTTATCCCCTCCCCCATCCCCCCCTACCACTGTTGTAGCGTGGCCGAGCTCTGTATCATGGTCCGCGGGTACAGGGAGCTTTTGTTTCCTGTACCCGGCCGGACTAAAAGGAAGTGAACACTGAGTGTGTACTTCCTGTTAGTCCGGCCGGGTACAGGAGACAGATGCTCCCTGTACCCGCGGACCATGATACAGGGCTCGACCACACTACAGTGAAGCAGTGACAGGAGGGAGCGCTGAGCGCTTCCATCCTGTCAGCCCCTCTCCTCAGGCTGCGCCCGGGCGGGCAAAGCTGCAGACTCCTGAGGCTCTCTACAGAGCGCTCGGGCGGCTAGAGCATGAGGGGGGCCGGCGCTCATGGCAGCGCCCCCTCCCAAGGCACCCCCCACCCTGGTGGCACCCGGGGCGGACCACCCCCCTCTGCCCCCCCCCTTAGTACGCCACTGTCTATACCTCCTAATCCTGCAGTTGGGTGCCTCTCTATCTTTGCTACCCATCAATCATCGTTATAAACATTGTCCTTTGCACCTGGCATTCAGCATAGAGAAAGCATATAGAGAAGCCGAAAATGAAAAAAAAATGTTTCTATGTCTCCTCTTCATTTGCAATGTTTGTCCTGACTTTGCCTTGTCTGAATTGGATTATGAGGTCACTTGATAAATCAGTAATATAAATTTAAAAGAATTGGAGTATTTAATGGAAAAAAGGAGAATGTGGAGTGCAGAACTGTTACCAATACGGTGAACTGCGCTGTCACTATCAATTTATGTCAATTTCAAAGTTCAAATTTAATAAACAGGACTGATGCTGGGGCTGAATAATTTATCCCACAAACTCCTGCTTTACATGCATTTATGGAATTAAATCAAAATCCACTCACTAGAATGGTAGTGTCCGGATTGGTGGAGCCTCTCCCTGATTTGTAAGTCTATATGTTGCCATTGCTTGCCTGCAAAAATGCAGCAGTAACATGAAATATAAAAGTAAGCTTTTTTGTCTTTTATTTTTGCACCCGGGGCGGACCACCCCCCTCTGCCCCCCCCCCCTTAGTAGGCCACTGTCTAAACCTCCTAATCCTGCAGTTGGGTGCCTCTCTATCTTTGCTACCCATCAATCATCGTTATAAACATTGTCCTTTGCACCTGGCATTCAGCATAGAGAAAGCATATAGAGAAGAGGAAAATGAAAAAAAAATGTTTCTATGTCTCCTCTTCATTTGCAATGTTTGTCCTGACTTTGCCTTGTCTGAACTGGATTATGAGGTCACTTGATAAATCTGTAATATAAATTTAAAAGAATTGGAGTATTTAATGGAAAAAAGGAGAATGTGGAGTGCAGAACTGTTACCAATACGGTGAACTGCGCTGTCACTATCAATTTATGTCAATTTCAAAGTTCAAATTTAATAAACAGGACTGATGCTGGGGCTGAATAATTTATCCCACAAACTCCTGCTTTACATGCATTTATGGAATTAAATCAAAATCCACTCACTAGAATGGTAGTGTCCGGATTGGTGGAGCCTCTCCCTGATTTGTAAGTCTATATGTTGCCATTGCTTGCCTGCAAAAATGCAGCAGTAACATGAAATATAAAAGTAAGCTTTTTTGTCTTTTATTTTTGCATATTCTTAATACATTAAAACTGAGTGGCCGATTGCAGAACAGGAGTGTCCCTTATATTACAATTTCTGTAACTCAATTGCAATATGATGGATTAAATGAACACTATAGGGTCAGGAACACAAACATGTATTCCTGACCCTATAGTATTGAAACCACCATCTAGCCTCCCCTGCCTCCTTCCCCCCTTTGATTCCCTAAATATATTAAAATCTAACTTGTATTCAAGTTTGCAGCTGCTGCCTCTGCCCCTGATATTTGCTGCTTGTCTGGCATCATCAGAAGTGATTCTGTGAGCCAATCACAATGCTTTCCTATAGGATTGGGTGATACTGTCAATGAGAAAGATCAGGGGCAGAACCAGCACAAGTCAAACTCAGATGTGGCCAATCAGCATCTCCTCATAGAGATGCATTGAATCAATGCATCTCTACAAGTAGTCATACTCTTCATACTGACAATAGGAGCTCTGATAGGCTAAAAGCAGTCAGCTGACACTCTCATTCAATCACAGCTGCTTATTCCTACTTAGGCTAATACTTCCTCATCAGCCAAAGCAGCACAGAGGGGATGGCATGCTGATAACTCTTGTTTAGCATGAAAACCTTAAAACTGTTTCATGCTGATTGAAATGACACCACCAGGGAATTCCAGACACTATAACCAGTTCAATGAAGTGAAGTAAATACAGTGCTCACAGTCTCCCTTTAATATAATGTACTGTGAAGGCATTCCCTTCCTAGTTACAGTTCAAAATGTGATAGAGCCTACTAATCTTGCTGACACAACATCTCACAAGCAGATGGGAAAAACTGAGACTATTTTCTCACTGAGCTGAAATGTTTAGCACTTAAATCCCAACAGAAATATAAGGTGTAACCACTTCATGACCAAATATACAGGCTTCCTTTATGCAACCTCTTTTCTTACCATGTACTTGCAGAACCAAACTAAGTAACTCCTTCACTACAATGAAACTGCAGATTGCCATGTCTGGCCCTGGAAAAGCTACCGATGAGAAAACCATTTAAAACAGTTTTTCTGCTAAGACAGAGTGTTGTAATAAGACAGGAAAGTATAGTGCCAGACGTATGTGCATAGCGTCCTATATCATACAACTCGCAACAAAATCGTAAGTGCTATGAGCTACGTATGTGTAGGCTGAGAAGCAATGCCCCTATCAGGAGCACATACTGGCGCAGGATTTTAATAGACCGAGAGCCAAGGGTCCCATCCCTCATTTTGAAATCAAATTCTGGTTATGCTTGCCACCAATCATTTTATGGCAGACACTATAGGTAATATTCATAACTATAGGTAACGTCCTGTGCACTTTTACCATGCCTGCACAAAGTCCTACTGACATCAAAATCCTACTGCCTGGCTTCTCTAAGCAGAGAAAGATTTTGCACTGCTCAAGAAAGAGCCCTTTCTTGATGCATGCAGGAAATTTGGGAGAATGGGTGATGAAAGTCTGGCATGGAGTGTTAATAAATAAAAATATGATTTCCATTTTTTATTGCATTTACGTATATATTTTGTGGAGATACCACACTTATCCACTTGTATCTTCTCGACCACTAGTTAGTGGGGGGTAACCCCTATATAAAACATTGATACAAGAAAGAGCAAAGAAGGTTTAGTCATCGATACATAAGTATAAAGTATTCCAGATCTAAACCTTAAGTCAGGGCAACCCTTGTAAATAATCTCTTTAAAACATAACTTTTCATAAAACTTAGCTAAAAGTACTGTGTGCACAAGGTCAATGAAAGGGGAAAAAGGGATCAGCGCTACAGGGTACTTGCTAAAGCAATAGTAGTACCTATGGCATGGGGGTAGTCATAATAAAGTAATCTTAAATCCAAATACCCAAAATAAAAAATAAAAATAATAACCAAATTAGAAAAAAAGTGAATAAGTATATCTCCAACTACCATCACTCAGTTCCAAAGTAGCGTTGACTCCCCTTCCCCTAATGCTAGAAGTATAGAATAAGCTAATAAACTGCTAGCTACCTATCTATTTAGTGAATAAAACAGTAGCAAGGTGGCTAATCTAGAAGAAAGTAAGCTGCAGCATCGTCCCCATATAGCTCTGCCACCCACTGCTCTAAAATCCCGACGCGCGTTTCGCCGACTACTGGCTCTTCCAAGGGAATCGGGTTAGAGAAAATCTATTAGTTTAAATATCGCGCCCTCCACTCTTGTTGGATAGTAAATCTGCCAACCAGATTGGAGGGCTGAAGAGTGACGTCCAATTTGTCCTGTTAACCTTTAGTGGGATGGGTAAAAAATAAAAACACAATAATAATTAGTTAGTTAGTAATTTAGTGTGCCAATTATTATTAGAGTAAGGATTACACCAAGCTAGAATTATGCATTAAGTCCCTTCTGTATGATAAAAAGTCCAAAGGTGCTGAGAATGATTAACATTCTCAGACTCATAAGAACACCCATAATTTCGTTATGTCTCTTGTAGCAAAAGTTTGCTACAGTAACTATTCATTCAGTATGTTACCAATCTGCAGTAACTGTAATTGTATTCATCAAGTGATTATACAGTCCTTATGCTGGGATTTACCAAGTCATAGAGAGAGATGGAATTAAGCAACAGCAATCATGAACTGATGGTCGTTATTAAAATCAAATTTTTTTTACAATTTTTTTGTCCAATCACAACTTTCAAAATTTCTAATATGAAATTAATAGCTACTACAAGGCTTTTCATTCGTGATTGGAGTATATAGCTAGGAGTATTTCTTACAGAAATACTAAGTCTAAAAGACCCCATGCTATATTGGCAGAGGAGTGATTTTTAATCTGATTATAATCATACTTGGAGTAATGTTTAAAACCATATTTACAGATGAAAAATCTCGTTTTGGGTGAAGAACAACCCCCAGGATCAAGGATAATACATTGAGTAAATAAATCTAATATAAAGTAATATAATGAACCATAACCACAGTGTGTCATATTATTTATGAATGAAAGTTTTAATTAATATTTATTTTTCGATTGTATTGGTATAGCATCTTCAATGAGAAGTTTAGTAAAGTAACCTCTAGTAATGTAAAACACCTTAATTCTTAGGTGTAAATACACATTATTCCTAGATGTATATACAAATTATTCCTAGATGTATCCATATCCGTAGTTATTATGTGATAATAACTACGGTGAGATCTTTTAGTCTACTTATGGCCACAACAGTCCTCCTGGTTGGAGCAATTCCTTTTTGCTCTCAGATATTGGCCATATGCAATATTGGCCTTTAGATGATAGGGGTGAAAGTTATGCCAATGTAGGTAACTGTTGGTAGCTGTAGGTTTTCTAAATAACGAGGTAGTCACCTCCCCATCATCTAAAATGTTAATCTTTAAATCCAGGAAGACTAGGTCTCTCTCATCAATAATGTGAGTAAGTTTCAAATTTATTTTATTATTGTTGAGGTGTTCTACCATTTCCTCAAACAGTGTAAAGGAGCCTAACCAAAAAATTAACACGTCATCTATATATCAATACCATTTGTATATAGATGTAGTGACTTTAGTATTGATTTTGGACTTTGAAAATTAAGCAAAATAACTCAGTAGTAGATTTAAGAGCCTTGGCTACCCTAAAAGGATTTTAAAGAGAGCCTACCAACAAACTAAAGCTATTGATAGATCTGAGAGTTTACACAGACCACCTACAAACACCTCCACAACCCCAGGCATAACTAGATTTATAGGCACGTATGACAACTAGACATGTGCAATTCGTTTCGGTCCGAATATGAATTCGGACGAATTTCGGGAAATTTGGTACTTCCGAATGTCCGAATTGCCGAGGTCCCGAAATTACCAAATTTCCGAAGTTGCCAAAGTTCCGAAGTGTCAAAGTGCCGAACTGCCGAAGTTCCGAAGCACAGTATTGCCTAAGTACTAATATACTTACCCAGTGAAAGAAGAATGTTACATTGTATACAATTTTAAATAAAAAGTATACAAACATAGCCAGGATTCAGCTGAAAGCATTTGCAACACTTACAACCATCAAGTGACATACATTCATATAAAATGTAAATTACTTGGCCAGTCAATGTAATGACAGGAATGAATAAGTAGATAACTCCCTAATTCACACAGTATCACGGTATTAGGGAGCTATCTACTAAAAGGCTGAAAGACCTAAATTGGTCTTTCAGACAAATTTACTAATACTAAGTAAAGATTACTTAGTATTAGTAAATTATTGCTCTACTCGCTACTTAATCCACCAATCAGAGTGTTATGAGTCAAATTACACAGCGTGGGAAAATTCCAAAGAACTTTCCCACGCTGTGTAAAATGACACAGAGCACTCTGATTGGTGGATTTCAAACCAACCAATCAGAGTGCTGTGACAGGTAAATGTAGAGACTTACCTGTCAGTCTCTTCATTTACCTGTCATAGCACTCTGATTGGATGGCTTAAACCCACCAGAGTGCTCTGAGCCTAACTGAAGGGCGGGGCAAGGCTTTATAAGCCTTCCCCACCCTGCAGAGCTCAGTCTGCGTGGAGCCCTTCGCCGGGTGAAGATGGATTTTATTTTTGCGCTTTTTTTTTTTTTTTTGTGTCGGTTATTATGGTTTTTTTATTTGGCCTTTTTTGGGGCTGAAAAAAGAAGATTTTAGAAGAAAGAAAACATTGAATGGTAAGTTTTTTTATTTTTATTTTTACAGGTACTTAGTTAAAGGTCCCACCCCTCATTATTTTTAGGGTGAGGGGGGTAGGTAGGGAAATACATTTTTTGGGGGGAGGGGGACAATAGGTCCCCCCATTGGTATTTAGGTCCCCCACGCGCCACTCAAGGGTGGGGGCCAGGGGGGAGGACATTAGGTGTCCCCCCTTATTAGTATTTATGGCCCCAACCTGCCACTCAGGGGTGGGGGCCAGGGGGAGGACATTAGGTCCCCCCCTTATTAGTATTTAGGGCCCCCACCCACCGCTAAGGGGTGGGGGTCGGGGGAGGACATTAGGTCCCCCCCTTATTGGTATTTATGACCGCCGCTCAGGGGTGGGGGCCAGAGGGGAGGACATTAGGTCCCCCCCCATATTCCAATTTAGGGCCCCCACTCGCCGCTCAGGGGTGGGGACCAGGGGAGAGGACATTAGGTCCTCCCCTTATTAGTATTTAGGGCCCCCACCAACCGCTCAGGGGTGGAGGCCAGGGGGTAGGACAATAGGGAGGGGGGACCCTATTTTTTTATTTTATTTTTACTAGACTGTTTACTAGACATGCCCCTACTCGCGGTATAGCAAGTAGGGGCAAAATTTACTAATACTAAGTAATTTTACTTAGTATTAGTAAATTTGGCTGAAAGACCAATTTAGGTCTTTCAGCCTTTTGGTAGATAACTCCCTAATACAGTGGGAATTCGGGAGTTATCTACTAAGCGGCTGCAAGAGAAGTCCCGAAGTGCCGAAGTTGACGAAGTTCCAAAGTGCCGAATTGCCGAAGTCCCGAATTGCGAAAGTCCAGAATTTCGGAATGCTGAACCAAACCGAAAATTTTCCCCATGCACATGCCTAATGACAACCATTGGGACTTGGCCCAACAGGTTTTTAATAAGAATTGGTCAGTTTTACAATATGATTCATGTCTAAAAAATACTTTTACCAACCAACCATCAATGACCAAAAAATCTGGCAGATTATCTAACCCATAGCCACTTGAAACGGGTACAAACAGCATCTACATGGCTCCAAGCCACCAAACGTCTCTTCAAGTGTGGTCATTGTAAGGCCTGTGACTATATTCTACCAACAAAAACAGGTTTGAATAAAAGAACATTAAAGGAGATTACTATCAATTCCTTTGTTAACTGCAGCTCCACAAATGTTATTTATCTCATTACATGTAAGTGCGGTTTACAGTACATTGAAAAAACATATCAACAACTGCATCGCAGAGTCTTACAACATATTAATTCCATCACTAATCTACATGTCAACACTCCAGTAGCAAGCCATGTAAAACAGAACCATGCATCTAAGCCCAGTTACTTAAATTCCAAGTGATCCAACAAATATTCCAAAACCATCGGAAAGGGGACATAAATTTATCACTACTTAAGGTTGAATCACGTTGGATTTATCAATTCAAAACTTTATACCCCAAAGGACTGAACAAGGAATTTAACTTCACTCCATTTATTTATTCATAAAGGGATGGTTAAGGAGTTTCTTGGAATATGAGGCATGACCACCTGTTGTGGCCATAAGTAGACTAAAAGATCTCTCCGTAGTTATTATCACATAAGGCTAATCCTAGATATGTATACATCTAGGAATAATTTGTATATACATCTAGGAATAATGTGTATTTACACCTAAGAATTAAGGTGTTTTACATTACTAGAGGTTACTTTACTAAACTTCTCTTTGAAGTTGCTGTACCAATACAATCGAAAAATAAATATTAATTAAAACTTTCATTCATAAATAATATACATTGACACACTGTGGTTATGGTTCATAATATTACTTTATATTAGATTTATTTACTCAATGTATTATCCTTGACCCTGGTGGTTGTTCTTTACCCAAAACGAGATTTATCAAGCTATAAGAATTTATCACCATTTCATCTGTAAATATGGTTTGAAACATTACTCCAAGTATGATTATAATCAGATAAAAAATCACTCCTCTGCCAATATAGCATGGGGTCTTTTTGACTTCACTTCTGGGCTTTCTGTAAGAAATACTCCTAGCTATATACTCCAACCACGATTTTTTTTTTTTTTTACATTTTTTGATTTTAATAATGACCATCAGTTCATGATCACTGTTGCTTAATTCCATCTCTCTTCGACTGGGTAAATCCCAGCATAAGGACTGTATAATCACTTGTTGAATACAATTACAGTTACTGCAGATTGGTAACATATTGAATGAAGTTACTGTAGCAATCTTTTGCTACAAGAGACATAACGAAATTATGGGTGTACTTATGAGTCTGAGAATGTTAATCATTCTCAGCACCTTTGGACTTTCTATCATACAGAAGGGACTTAATGCATAATTTTACCTTGTTGTAATACTTACTCTAATAATAATTGGCACACTAAGTTACTAACTAACTAATTATTATTATTGTGTTTTTATTTTTTACCCATCCCACTAAAGGTTAACAGGACAAATTGGAAGTCACTCTTCAGCCCTCCAATCTGGTTGGCGGATTTACTATCCAACAAGTGTGGAGGGCGGATATTTTAACTAATCGATTTTCTCTAACCCGATTCCCTTGGAAGAGCCGGTAGTCGGTAAAACGCGCGTCGGGAATTTAGAGCAGTGGGTGGCAGAGCTATATGGGGTCGATGCTGCAGCTTACTTTCTTCTAGATTAGCCATCTTTCTACAGTTTTATTCACTAAATAGATAGGTAGCTAGCAGTTTATTAGCTTAGGCTATACTTCTAGCATTAGGGGAAGGGGAGTCAATGCTACTTTGGAAGTGAGTGATGGGAGTTGGAGATATACTTATTCACTTTTTTTCTAATTTGGTTATTATTTTTATTTTTTATTTTGGGTATTTGGATTTAAGATTACTTTATTATGACTACCCCCATGCCGTAGGTACTACTATTGCTTTAGCAAGTACCCTGTAGCGCTGATCCCTTTTTCCCTTTTCATTGATGTTGTGCACACAGTACTTTTAGCTACGTTTTATTAAAGGTTATGGTTTAAAGAGATTATTTACAAGGGTTGCCCTGACTTAAGGTTTAGATCTGGAATACTTTATACTTATGTATCGATGACTAAACCTTCTTTTCTCTTTCTTTTCTCAGACATACGAAAAAAAATACACAAGTTACAAGTCAACTTTATAAATGCAATTTGGTTTTCAGTCAGATTAGATGGATCATCTTTAATAATGTAGACGTTTACATTATCTAAGTTTTTTTGGCTTATTTTTTTTCAGGCTGCAAGGTCCACCTCCAGTTGTAAATGTCCAACTTGAGAAAGGTGAGTACCGTAATTAATCCTAAACCCAATATTTTTTTCTTATTTGATATTTATCTGCCTCCTCATTCAACTATTCTTCCTTTTTGCTGTAGGCTTCCAGAAGTCCAATTACCAAACACCTTCAGGACGTTACAGATTTCGCAAAAGTAGCAACTCAAAGAAACTTTAAAGAACCATTCCATCATGAAACGGTCTCCTTAAGACCTTTCAACCCACCTGCGTATACATAAGACATGGAAGTCTTATCTTCAAGAAGTTTAAATCACTAACTCAAGCATAAAATAAGCTTGCTATCGTTAAGATGCTTTTATAAACACAATTGCTCCTCTGCTTAGAATTCAACAAGCGGATTTCTATCTCTGTTTTTTGTTTGTTTTTTTATATTTGAATATTTTTTTTATTAATGAAGAATTCAGAGGAGGAGATTAAATCCAAGCCATTTTAAATCCTTAGTATTGTCCTAGATCCTTGTATAAAGCACTGTATGACACTGTATCTGTCCACTTTTCTCCCCTGATATGTAAACCAGTCTGTGAAAGTGCACACAAAAAGGATGGTGTAAGAACACCGCACGGCAGAATGGTGTACATTCTCTTGGCATGCTTTCATCACCTTTCTTAAGTAACTTTGGAGTCATTGTGGCATGGAAGAAATGACTGTCTATGAAAAGATGATGAAGCACTCAACAAGAGAATGACATTGCCAAATCATGGATGCATCACACCACATCTTATCTTGAAATAGCAGCTGAATGAGGGAGGTTCCATTCTATCCACACAATCCAATGCTTTTCAAAAAACACAAGCACACAATACTCTCTGATCTGTTCCAAAATGCTTTCCTAGTTGGATGAGGTGCACGGCCACATGGAATTTCCATGTGTCCATTTGGTTCCCTAGCATAGGAACCAGATATATGATAGTTAAAGCGTTACTCCTAACAAAAAACACAGTGTTTTCATTAAATGCTGGTTTTTGGTTAGAGTAATTCTTTCTGTGGCGGTCCGCCCCTTCCCCTCCAACACCAAAAAAAAAAAAAAGCTTAAACTTAACTCTTTACCACTGCCAAAGCCTAAGTCTTTCCGTCGGCTTGATCCTCTTTGGCTAACGTCCCTCCCCCTCGCCAGAGATCAAAGAGGGCAGACCGAGGGGGAACAGAGGCAGCACGGGAGAGAGGGTCTGTGCTGCCATTGGCTGTCAGCATGCTGTGCGTGCTAGTGTCAGATGCCAATTTTACAAATAATTAATATTAGCCAGTCCAGAACTCTTGGCCTGGGCTGGCTAATGACACCACTGTGATGCTGCCGGAGTTGGAGTTACATGTCTAGCAGCAGAGGGGTTAATGTTTGTATATGTAGCATTTCATAGCAAAGAGCTGCACATACAACTCCAGGCACCAAGACCACTTCAAATCAGTGGTGATTGTGCTCGGAATAAGTCTTAAATTTTAATGTACTTGCAAACAAGCTATCCATTTAACAGGTTAAAATAGGGGTTTATGTAAGACTTATGACAGTTTTATAGTTTATTGAATAATGTAAAATGTTTATGCAATGCTCTTCTTTACAGGTGAATACATATATGCATATTAAGAAATGTGACCAAGGGATTTGTCATGCAGAATTGTAAATCAATAAATTCACTATGACGCAAGCTGCATTATTGACTGTGACTACCTATTAAGGAGCATTTGCAACGATATACTTATAGATTTACTTTTCTTGCATCACCTTTAATTACATTGTAAATACAAAAAAAAGTAATAATACTCAATCCGCTTATTTTATATGTATATTTTTGTCTTGAGTTTGTCATTATGTTTAGCACTTATTTTAGCTACTGTTAATAATAAAGAGGTTGCAGTTGCAATTACAGATACTCACAGATAGTGTGTATTCATTCAGCGCAGCCACAAAAAAAGATGACATATTGAAATAGATTTCTAAATACACTTGAAAACCAGAGTGAGTTTCTTTCGGAAGTCAGAAGTAAGCTTGGCAAGATTTGCTTGCAGATCTCACAGGTTGACTTCCTCGTGTTACTCACCATTTGTAGTGTTTGTTTTTCCTGGTGTAAGTGCTGAGTTTTTATAGCACTGAAAAAATATGGCAGATGTGGTCAACATCACAATTTACATGAAAAACAAAGTAAATAATTGCACAGTAGTAAATAGTACTGGAGATGCACAGAAGACTGATCTTAAGGCCCATAGGGCCAAAGGGTGTCCAATCCATATGGGTTCCCAATCCCACCTTCTCCCGTTATTAGGACAAGAGGGTAACCAAATTAAATTGTAAGATCCTAATACAAGAATGAATCATCCGTCCCCTACACAAGACAAATGAATATCCAGACCACTTGCCCAGAGTACAAACGACCGAAAACAATAATTCTTAACCTGTGAGGTGTGCCTTCTCTGGGGAAGTACAAAGGTGTTAGTGGGGAGGTAAGACGTTCCTCATTAACATTTTTGTAATTTGCTTTTTTTAGAATTTTGTTTAGATACAGTTCAGTTGCTATAACCAGATTCAAAAAAAAGTCGGAGGCATTCGGTTCAAAAGTCATATAATCAACATGTCAGGTTAAAATGACAACTGCTGTTATTGTGTGTGGTTGTGTTCAGTAAAATGAAGACTAACTATCCATTTAGTTTAATCTCGTACCAAACCCCTGTGCCGGAAGTGACTGACATCACTTGATTACAACAATTGCAAGAACAGTAGCAGGGCAGTCACACGCAGTGCCGGTGCAAGGATTTTTGTCAACCTAGGCAAACAAAAATTTGCCGCCCCTCCATATGTTCTGCCCACCATGTGACATCAGAATGCCCCACCCATATGATCTGCCATATGGGCCAATGCCAGTGCTGCACAGTGTCTTTTATCTGAAAAGGCAGTGTGTTTACAATAAAAAGTCTGCAGGGACAGGCTATAGACATCAGAACCACAACATTAAGCTGTAGTGGTTCTGGTAACTACAGTGTCCCTTTAATGTGAGGTAAGTTAGAGATTAGTGCCACTAAAAATACTCAGCATTGTCTACTTACCACCAGATGAGGACAAGAGGATGATGATGGGATCAGACTGCAGTCTGGCTCCACTGGTCTGGTGTAGAAGAAGCTCTCTAGTTATGTGTTATTGTAAAGGATGTAATGTGTGTGTGTGTTCTTATGTAATGTAGTGTATAGGGATACCAATTTGTGTAAGGAATATAGTGTGTGTATAGGGGATGCAGTGTGTGTTTGTGTGTAAGGAATGCATTGTGTGTTTCTGGGTGTGTGTGTAAGGTATGCAAGGTGTGTTTCTGTGTATGTAATGCAATGCAGTGTGTGTTTGTAAGGGGTGCATTGAGTGTGTAAGAGATGCATTTTGTTTCTGTGTGTGTGTAAGAGAAGCAGTGTGTGTGTGCATAAGGGATGCATTGTGTGTTTCGGTGTGTCTGTGTGTGAGTAGGGATGCATTCTGTGTTTCCGTGTATGTGTAAGGATGCATTGTGCATGTGGGTAGAGTGAAAGATAGGGTTTGTTAGTGATATCCCCTCCCCTCCAGTCCATTAGTGCTCTCCCCATCCGTCCCTCAGAACTGCCCCCTTCGTGCTTTCCCCTAGTGATCTCCCCTCCCCTCCTGTCCCATAGTGATCTCCCCTGTTCCATAGTGATCTCCCCTACCCCTCTGTCCCTTAGTGCTCTTTCATCCCCTCCCTTAGAGCTGTCCCTTCCGTCCTTAGAGTTCTCCCCTGCCCCCTGTCCTTTAGTGGTCTCTCCCCTCTCTTCCCTGTCCCTCGGTGTTCCTCTCCCCTCCCTGTCCCTTAGTGGTCTCCTCCCATCTTAGTGGTCCTCTCCAGTCCCACCTCTCCCCCCTTAGTGGTCCTCTCACTTCCCCTCCCCTTAGTGGTCCTCTCCCGACCCTTAGTGGTCCTCTCCCTCCCCCCCCCCCCTTAGTGGTCCTCCCTCTCCTCTTCCTTAGTGGTCCTCCCTCTCTTCCAACCTATTAATGTTCCTCCCTCTCCCCCAATCCCTTAGTGGTCCTCCCTCTCCCCAACCCCTTGGTGGTCCTCTCTGGGCAGGGGGGGAGGGAGGACCACTAAGAGGGGGGGGGGGAGAGGACCACTAAGGGAGGTAGAAAGGGGACTGGAGAGGACCACTAAGAGTGGGGAAGACCACTAAGGGACAAGGAGGGGGGAGGAACACTGAGGGATAGGGAAGAGAGGGTACATTCTGATTAATTGGTGGGTACGTTCTAATGGGGCACCGGGGTGGTCCTCGTTCAGGAGGCACATGGGCTCCATGCGCCAGAGCGCCCCCGCACGATCAAAACAGTTAAAATAAAACTACATTGGGAAACAAACATATTATAATGGGGAATCTACGAATATAGAAGAGGGCAATTCATGGACAGCCAGTGGTCCCGTCACACACATAATTAATCTCGGCCTACTTATCATAGTGCAGATTATAGGGTCAACTCAATAAAGAGAGAATTACAGGGAATTGAGATGGTAGGTTTAAACTTAAGGCCAAAGTAGCCGAGTTGGAAAAATTCTCCCATTCAGCTGCACTAGTTTGAAATTCCCATCACAATTCCTCGCAATTCTCTCTTTCTTGAGTAGACCTTTATAACACCAAGTTCCCATCAACAGTACCATGTATCCTTGGTGTGCGATAGATACATTCGCAGCACAGCATCTGTATCAGACAGGTACATTTTATCACTTTAACGAGAGTTGGGTATCAGTGGTGACACTGTCAGTGCAAGTACAAATATAGAAAGATCTTGTGCAGATGTGCTTCAGTCAGAGAGTTGTGTCTACACCATAGAACATACATTAGTTCACAAAAATAATTATATTGGGGAGTGAATATAGTAAAAAAAAGCTGAAGATAAATGAAAGATATAGTAGGAGAATTTGTAGAATGGAATTAATGAGAGAAATGGGAGCAAAAGGTATGCACATATTCCACTAGCCCCTTTTCATGCCCCCAATACAACATGTTAAATGTCTCAGATTAATGCTTCAGTCACCAATCCACTGGTTTTGATTCTTCTAGTTCCTGGAGTCTGCGAGTATTATACAGAGAACAGCACTATACAGGGAGCAGTGACTGTCCCAGCTTATTATACACACAGACCTGTATTATACAGAGAGCAGCACTATAAAGGGAGCACAGACTGTCCCAGGATATTATACACAAACATGTATTATACAGAGAGCAGCACTATACAGGGAGCACTGACTGCCCCAGCTATTTATACACACAGACCTGTATTATACAGAGAGCAGCACTATAAAGGGAGCACAGACTGTCCCAGGATATTATACACAGACCTGTATTATACAGAGAGCAGCACTATACAGGGAGCACTGACTGCCCCAGCTATTTATACACACAGATCTGTATTATACAGAGAGCAGCACTATAAAGGGAGCACAGACTGTCCCAGGATATTATACACAGACCTGTATTTGATACGGTTCCTCACAATAGGTTAGTCTTCAAACTAAAAGAAATTGGTCTAGATGAATATTCTTGTTCTTGGGTAGAACATTGGCTTTAGGATAGAGTACAACGAGTTGTAATTAATGGTAAATTTTCAGGCTGGACAAAAGTGGTAAGTCGTGTCCCTCAGGGTTCTGTTTTGGGACCACTTCTATTTAACATATTTATAAATGATCTTGAAAGAGGCATTGAAAGCCATGTATCAGTGTTTGCAGATGACACAAAACTTTGTAAAGTAATAAAATGTGAGCAGGATATTGCTTTGCTGCAGAGAGATTTGGATAGATTGGGGGACTGGGCACTAAAATGGCAGATGAAATTTAATATAGAGAAATGCAAAGTTATGCACTTCGGGGTTAAGAATGCACAAGCAACTTACACACTAAATGGTAGTGAATTAGGGATAACCACACACGAGAAGGATTTGGTAATTGTTATAGACAACAAATTAGGCAGCAATATGCAATGTCAATCTGCAGTTGCTAAGGCCAGTAAAATTTTGTCATGTATAAATAGGGGCATAAATTCTCGGGATGAAAATATAATTTTGCCTCTTTATAAATCGCTGGTAAGACCACACCTTGAGTATGCTGTGCAATTTTGGGCGCCTGTTCTAAAGAAGGATATCATGGCACTGGAGAGGGTCCAGAGACGAGCTACAAAATTGATAAAAGGAATGGAGCATTTTAGTTATGAAGAAAGGTTAAAAAAATTAAATCTGTCCCAGCTAATTATACACACAGACCTGTATTATAGAGAGAGCAGCACTATAAAGGGAGCATAAACTGTCCCAGGATATTATACACAATAGTTGATATGTAGATGGTGGAACTGTACTCATCCCTTCGCTATGGAATCTCAGGGTGCTACCGGATCAGTCCCAGTACCAAAGAGACCACGTGTAACGTATAATAGTAGAAAATAATCCAGGCACTCCAAATTGTTCCAAAACAATGGGCGATTTTATTTTTTTAAATACTACTTTTTATTTTCTCTATTGGTAACTTTTTCGACCATCAATCATCTCATTTTTTTTGACACCATGGACTGAAATACAAATTAAATAAAGATGGTCGTCCGTTATGCATGTAGTTTGATGGTTATATATCCATATGGTGTTTCAGAGTCAGGTCGCCAATCAGCATAAATTTGGAAGAGTTCTAATTCGGAAAAAACAAAAACAAATGCAAAAGCCCAGTCTCTATACCTGTGGATAAGGCGACTCCATATACTAAAAGTATTCAAAACTGTATCAGGATTATTTCATGCATTTACTGATCATTTATTTACATATTACGACCATAAAAATGGTTAGTCTGTCAACTGTGCCAAAGTAGCCCATTTTAGTTAGGTCCTAATATAATGT